CATGGAACATACGGTATAAAATACAGAGGGAACCGAAGTCCCTCCGCAGACCCAGAGGCTCCAAACGATCCGAGAGAATGGGATTATCGACAATCCGAACGGCCCTCCTCTGTATGGAGTCAAATGGAAGTAGCTGGTATTTGGGAGGTATTTGGGAGGTGAGTCGGGAGCTCTTCCAACCTTCTAAGCAATAAAAAATAATGATTTTTTTAATAATATCAGGGACACAATTTGTGTATCACAAATGAACAGAAAACGTGTTTTGAGATAGGAAGGAGAGAAAAGACTTATTTTAGTAAAAATACATTTCACGTATGCGCGCACCTTAGAATCTTAGCATCTCGACCTCTTAACTATCATCATCTCAGCCTGTCTACTATCCACTGATGAACATAGGCCTCTCCAATTGATGTCCAGCGCGGCCGGTCCGTTGTCACCTGCATCCAACGATAGCTATACGATTGGGCTCTTGCTAGGGCCAGTATTAGCACCACTCCGGCTTGAGCTCCGTGAGCTCACCTACACGTTAGGGCGAAGCTGATATAGCCTCTCAAGGCTATCAGCATAGGTAGGAAAAAAAAAACGATTGCACAAATTATTCAAAAAATATTCCACTACCATTTCATGGATTTTTATAACACATTAGAACGAATAACGATTGGAAATCCGGAGGTCGCGTATATGGCATCTAATGTTGAATAACAGTTAAATGGTTTTAATTAGAACTAGCAACAAGCTAAGAAAATGCTATAGACAATAATGAGTGTGAGATCCACGTAAGCGCAATCGTACAGATTAGAGAATTAGCACATAATCACATCACATCACATAAATTTAAACAATACTATAACCGTTACTGTACTATAAATATACGCAACTTCAATCAACGTGATAATATGTTAATTAGGTTATAGTTCTTGCGGGTTTTACTTTTTATATTAAGATGCTATTTCTTCTTCATGGAAGTGTGTTAAGTACAAAGTTAATTAGAAAAATTTGGTACCTGCTTGCGAGATTTGAACACTCGCTCGATAATCATCCACCGGGCCACAATGTCTTCATACAACTTAATTTTTGTATAAAACATTTTCAGCGAAATATTATTTATCAACCGTAACTTTATGTGAATCTCCATGACGACCTGGAGCTTGACTCAGTCAGTAAGTATTTACAGTCGGCATCACTGCACCACTTTGAGAAGGCGGCACGACATGAAAACCAGCTTGTCGTGGCCGCCGGTAATTACATACCCGATCCTGTGGACCGAATGGTAAACAGTCAACGTGGCTCTAAGCACGTCATTACGGATCCTCCCGATCCATTAACGGTGCTTTTAGGTACCTCAAGCACCAGTCACCGTCCTCGCCAAACCCGTCGCTTGGCGGATCTTCTCAGTGGGTCGTGTTTCCGATCCGGTGGTAGATTCTACGAAGTACTGCCCTTCCCAGTGCCAGTCTTAGCAACACTCTCGGTTTGGGCCCCGTGAGCTCACCTAATAGTTCAGTGAATCTAGAATAATCCCTCGAGATTAATATAATAGGTAGAAAAAATCACTTAAGATCCACAAATTGAGCTCAAAAATTACAGCGTGATTTTTTTGGAATGTATTTTTATTCTTCTTTTTGTGTCTAATAGGATAACAGACCGACAAGAAATGCGCTATTGATGTTTGCAGGGGCCACTCACATATTATCAAAATTACTGCCAATTACATCCAAAAATAATTATTACATTATAAACAAAAAAAAAGTAATAAGCCAAAATTTCCGTGAATACTCCTACTACTAGAAATGGCAATAACTGTAAGAAATAAATAATTAAAAGTTGTAAAGACAAATTCATGTAATGTCTGCCGTCAGGAAATCGTAGAAAAATATACATTATAATGCTATCGCCTCCTTATCTGGTACTTGTCTATGTAAAATATTATAGCACAGAATATCAATATGTTATAGGTATCTTTATGACTACTTTTATGTGTGGCGGGTAGCCATCATACAACGCAAGATAATTGACATATGCCTGAATCTCGCTTACGATATTTTCAAGATAAAGCGCATATATACAAGTTCCGAAAAACAACATTCGGACCGTCGGTCTACCGAGCAATATCACCCGGTCGGTGGAAGATCTTCCCTTTCGTCGCTTAATCCTCCCAAATATGTACTAATCGTTTTGACCTAAAGGATAAGACTCGTCGACCCGTCTGCGCAATAGATATGTCATGACCTTGGATATGTCATGGATATATGAAGAAGAAGTCGTCGTTTTAGTGCAATTGAGATTTCGACTTAGATTCTTTCCTGGACATTTGAGCACGTTAGCTAGTCTTCCCAACTAGTGCAAAGGAAGCTTCTTTGGTGAAGAAATACGTTCTATTAATAGGGGTAGCTATTTACATATTTAATCCAGAAGTTACCGGAGAACATAAACATCACAATTTGATTGTGTGTGGTCCTATCTACCTACCTCATGTCAGGGTGGACTTCGGTATTCACGTTAATGACGTAATGGACCATGATGAACACCAGATTGACCGTTAGGTTATTCTACCTATTAGAATAAGAAATATTTAAATATTCGCAGTCTCGTGTGAACTAGCTGCAAAGTACCAGAATTTTAATAAACCAAGAATCGTTGCGATGACATCATTAAAATAACGATGACTCCCTAATTCTGACAATTCCAAACAACAATTGTTCGAAAATGATGTAATATGCATTTTAAGCGGGAAACGTAGACAGATATCTATATCTAATAATTAAATCAAGATGCTGGAACCCTCGAGCAGTTTCTTCCCCTTCAAATTAACTAAAGGTAAGCCAAAATATATGCTAGTAACACAGTGATGTGACACACGTTTCGGAAACTCGTTCACAGGTAGAGAATATTATGACATGTTCATCGCCTGTATATGATACCATCGTAAGTATTTATTATTTTCGGCGTGAATCAATCAAGATGGAAGCCGGCGCCCCTTTGTTATGTCTATAGGAAGTCACGGATTACCCTAAGCTAAAACTAAACTAAGTTTAATAAAAAACTTGCTAGTAAAATAAATTATTTTCGCGACTAAAATAGTCAGCGCAGTATTATCACTTCATAATGTACCCTACTAGATTTTTCTAGTAGGAATACTGATCGTAAAGCTTGTTTTGAAGTCAAGCCTTGCGGTAAGCTTCCTAGTTTACTTGATTATGTTTATACCTTCGAAGGTATACGCCCTAATTTCTTAATTTATTGTATTGTTTAGGCGGATGAACTAGCTCACGGCCTCACCTGGTGTTAAATGATTACCGGAGACGATAGACATCAAAAACATAAATGCCGCCACACACTTTGAGACATGAGTTTTAAATCTAAGTTCCATAGTAGAACGGCTGCCCTGATCTTCTAACCGAAACGCATTTCTACTCATTACTCAGCAGTAATGAGCTTCGCGGCAGAAATAGGCGGAGTGGTGGTAATAATCCGAGCGAACCCAGAGGACGCCTACCACCAGCTATTACAGAAATTATATTTTTTGTGGGCTTGATTTTATTATACGATGTTATTCTTTCATCGTGGAAGTGAATCGTAAGCATACATATTTTATGTCAATTGCGTATTTCATTAGAAGAATTGTTACCTGCTTGCGGGATTCGAAGAGAATCACATCGCTCGACACGAGGGCACCAGGCGTCTTATCCTTTAGGTCATTATGACTTCAAACTTGACGATGAGTGGTCACCGTCGCTTATGGACATCAGCAATACTACCTAGCTGCAGCCTACCACTGAGGACTTTTTTCTAGTCTTTGAAGAAGATGATATGTAAATTTATAATAATATAGCAATAGCTTGAGGAAAATGGATCACAGATTTATAACGAATATCCTGACATACGATTGTCAACAACATCATCTGGGCTCAATATCAAACTCTGGGAGCTCGTACCATAATATCTATTTCATTTTAATTATTTTGCGGTAGGCAGCGGCTTGGCTCTGCCCTTGGCATTGCTGAAGTCCATGGGCGACGGTAACCACTCACCATCAGGTGGGCCATATACTCGTCTGCCTACAAAGGCAATAAAAAAAATAAAAAAAAAGTTTAAAATATGTATATTCTTTCTTCATCGTGGAAGTCATTTGTAAGCTTCTTATTATCAAACTTATTCATATTTACTAAGAAACCCTTGCATTTGAGCCCGGTAGTCGGGCATAGGTATTATTATAATATTACCGTTTAAGATAATTAATTTAATAAATAAATATAGTAATAGTTTAATAATATAGTTTAATAATTAATAATAATAGTTTAAATATAGTATTATCTATATACCAGATCTCCGAGCAAACCAGCGGACCACTTAGCGCTGCACTACACCAGGCAACTGACCGGAAGCGATGGAAGCTGGCAGTCGACAAGCTGAAACGGAGTCACGATCCTCAGCAATAAGGGAGCGAAGAAGAAGAATAGTATTATCTGTGATTACTGGTTGTGTCAATTTGATAGAATTTTACTGAATTATCATGTCGTATTAAATCAATATATTATTATGTCACTTAGCAGTCTTAAATTATAATATGAACAGGCATCTCTTATTGCGACACAATGTAGAAACAAGGTAATGACACTATACATTATAACAATCATCGAATTCGATTATTGCTAGGCAAATTTTCAAATATCAACATTCAAATAACTTTAAACTTTTAAGAGCTTTTAAGATAAGGCTTTTCCGACTCAATGGGACGCATCGCAATATTTAAAACAAGTCTACATGACAAATATAGAATATAAAATAAAATCACACGCATTTTATATCAAATGAACTTTATTGTCTTTGTGCATGACATATTGAAAACACAACAAATAGTTTAAAAAAAACGTACAAAAAAATATGGCAGTGAGCATCAAATTAATAACGAGTAACAAGAGAATGTGGTGGATGCTTCGCCACACAATCCTGTATTAAGGCTTCATTACTTAAATCTATCCAGGGAATTTAGAAGTTTAGCTCGTGGCGGAGGCGACCTGAGGAATAGATTCACCCTGAGCATGGTATCCAGTCTCGTCAGCGAAGTACGTAATGGTTTCGGGTTTGCCGTCAGTGTTCGTGTAACTGTAGCTTCCACGCACAGCAACAATAACGTGAGGCTTGTTGTCGTCGTCGAGAGCCTCCTTCAGCTCACCAGTTTCGCTACGTACGATGCCGTTGGAAGTCTCGAAACTATAATAAAAAATAACGTATCAAAATAGTTCTTTTAATTTATATCATTATTGTAGGTCACAAATCTCGTGATTTCGCAGAGTCAATTACGCCATTTATAAATGGTTTTTTTTATTGCTTAGATTGGTTAACGAGCTCACAGCTCACCTGTTGTTAAATGGTTAGTGGAGCTCATAGACATCTACAACGTAAATGCCGCCACTCACCTTAAGATATGAGTTCTAAGGTCTCAGTATAGTTACAACGGCTGCCCCGCCCTTCAAACCAAAACGCATTACTACTGAAATTCGCAGGGTGGTGGTACCTACCCGTGCGGGCTCAAAGAGGTCCTACCGCCAGTAAAAAATAGTTCTTTTAATTTATACTATTATTGTAGACCACGCCATTTATAAGTGTGTAAGAAGCAAGGAACTAGAAGGATCCTCTGCTTCAATTTTGGGTTTTAAGACACAAAAAAATTATTGATAGCTTTCATCGGATTCGTTACAATAAGTCTTAAATACAAAACACTACTGGTGATAAGATTGAAATTTTATACGGCTTTAGGTTACTTAACATTACATCAGGTGCTAAGTGGCAATCGGGCCCCTTAGATAAAACGATGTATATTCCGCCCATTTGATTACCTATGCACGTACGATCTTTTCCGCGTCGCCCTTGAATGACTACTAGATAATGAAATTAGGTAAATAAAATGATATTAAGTAAATTAGGTAGACAGGTAAGCTGAATGTATTTTTCATTATAATAATTGCGAGTCGTAGATATAATTAAAATCATGTACTTAAACGGCTTAAACTCGCGTTTTTATTGTCATTACATTAATTCCCAGGGCTGTCGTCCGTGACCACTAAAAATACGATTAAACTGTGAAAGTAAATAGTTTTAACTCTTTATCACTGATAAAGAAGTCATGTTTTCCGATTTAAAGACTACAAGCCTTTATACAACCATATTGAGAATTTTGGATTCAGAACTTCATTCAGGTGTCAATATTCATGTTTGAAATGAAGATAACTGATATTAAGCGGTTACCGAATCGCTTTGTGCTAGATAGATATTAAGCTATTATGACTAAGCTGCAAATATAAGTACTATTAAAAGTATATTTTAAAATATTTACTTGTAGTTGTAAGCTCCATCGGGGCTGGCGTCGAATTCAGACCGAACGATCTTAGGGTAGTCCTCTGTAGGGGGAGCAGCGATGACTGTAGCCACAAGGGCGAGAGCTACAACGATGATCTGCGGCAAAAATATTTAAATTAAATACCAATTACATTGTTAAAGCAAAACAATTAAATATTCGCATCGCGAACTAAATGTTTAAAACTAGGGACCTACCAATTTCATTTTTAATAGTTTTGGTTCGTTTCTGCTGGTACCCGATGACAGACTGATGCCTGCATGCTTGTGACAAAATCTTTTATACATTTCACTGCAGATCTATCGTAATGTCAAATGTCTGCAAACATATGATGTCGATATACCGGATTCGGTCATCGATGATCACACGCTTACATGTGTACACATTGACCACAACTATATTTGATCGTTTGAGTGTAGTGTGTGTGTGTACCCATTGCATGCTGGTATTATGTGAAGGATAAATAATTAAATGTTAATTTCATTTGTTTTTATAAATTTAATGAAATGATTGGTTTAAAATATCATGCCATTTTTAATGTTGATTGCATATTTAATACTTAAGCATACGGCTTAGGGTAAATTCCTAAAAATATTGGTATTTTTTCAGAAACTTACAAAGCCAACGTTTGGAATAAGTTTATTGTTTATTATATACTTTGTACGTAAAGGCGCTCTTACGGCCTACTTTTGTAAAGCTGGTACCAATGGAAATGTATATAAAAAAATTTTAGACCACTCTAGCTTAGCATATGTGGTCGTAGTCTCAACTAAGTGCTAAGATATCCAACCTATCCCTTCCAACGAAAATGTAGGATTGTTTTGAAAAAATTGTCATGTTGGTGAAAAATAGCTTGACGGGCTCATTTTAAAACATGCCGACAGTCACTCGGTATAATTGTAATAATAAGAACTAATTTGTAACAGATGACTGGATGCAATTTCAAGTATTTGGTGATTCCGTTGCTGCTCCATATCTTTAAAAATTTAAATATTCGAGATTTAAAAATTTTATATTTCTATTACTTCAAAAACATCCGTAGCCTAAAGGACGGCCGGCTTACCCACATCGAGTGATGGTACTTTGCCGGTACGGCTTGCACTATAACAAAACAAACATCATTTAATAAAATTAAACTCGCAAAATTTACAAATTTGCGTATTTACTAAGGTTATTAAATATTTAGGACCCGCATTATCATGCTAGTCTCTCCCGCGTAGTAGTCATACCTTCCAGCTTGCCGGCCGGTTTACCTACATCTAGTGATGCGACTTTGCCTGTACGACTTCCACAATAACAAAACAAACATCATTTAATAAAATTAAACTCGCCAAACTTTACAAATTTGCGTATTTACTAAAGTTTTGAAATATTTAGAACCCGCATTATCCTGCTGGTCTCTCCCGCGAAGTAGTCATGCCTTCCAGCTTACTTGAAACTGCCATTGTATAATTAAATGGAGAGAACGACTTCATGTGTCAAGCTGGGTGATGTCATAAACGTTGTAATGTCTACGGCATCCGGTAACCACTCAATACCAGGCGAGCTGTGGTTTTGTTTCCAATCTAAGAGCAATTAAAAATGAATTCTGTCAACATCGCTGCATCTAAAGTAACAAGTCAAATTATAGTATCTAGAAACGATCTAAGAAAACAACTAAAGCTGGTCTTTTAAATGTCGATTTAACATCGTATAAATAAATAAATAAATAAATATTTACTAACAATCACGCCACGTTAACTGGTCCCGTGATAAGTTCGTAAAGAACTTGTGTTACAGGTACCAGATAACGAAAATAAATGTAAGATTTTTATTATACACATACATATATTTAATATACATCCATAACCCTGGAAAAGACATTTATATTTATCATACAAATATCTTCCCTTGGCGGGATTCGAACCCGCGACACCCTTATGTAGTGACCATGTCACTTACCACTACACCAGACGGCCGTAAAATCATTCAATTATTAGTGAAGAAAAATTGTATTTAAGTTATACAAATTTGTATACTCGTAGTATAAGTCAAAGCATCAACGAAATATCACGGCTACTAGTTTTCATGCTGAGAAATTGACAAAAATGCAATTTTTTACATGCATAACACAATCCTTTGAATTTTAATGATTTTAAACTATGAACTTTGAATCTCGTATTTAAAAATTCTAATCGTTATAACCAGCCATTATGTAGGTATACCTACTACATTCCTACAACTTATGAGTTGGTGCACATACTAATCAGCTTTATTTCAATTTGGTGTGTATTTGCGGAGAATACAGATTGTATCCGTGATCTTATTTGTTCTATTTAAACCGACAATTTTAAATACCTATTATCATATTATAATAGTTGGTTTAGTACGTATAGTATTATGTATAAGTATATTAAACATTTACGTTTTTACGTACACATTAATATATGTTGAATTAATATTTTTGAAACCAAAAATTATATGTTTTTTAGGAAGGAAGGATTATGGTGTCCTTGTGGGCTTTCGAGTTTCACCAGGATAGGTGGGCGAGCAAATGCTCAGCCAAAAGGGTTGGGATTTGCTAACAACAGCCCGTGCGCCTCCGGAGGAAACCTATCAACTCTAGGGCAACAGCGATCGGAATCGCGACCCGCTGAGAAGACCCGGCGAGGAACTCAGCGGGAAGATGTATGGATAAGAAGAAAAGAAATAAAAATATTCTAAAATAATGCTAAAGTCGTAATGGCTCAAAGTATAAGACGCCGCTGTACTTGTACCGAGTGATGCGCCGGGCTAGGGTTCAAATCCGGTTACGAAATTTGTACTTATACTTATCAAAAACCTTACTCCCGAGTGTTTTTATGAATGTATTGTAAGAGTAATTTTAACTTTTTTTTGTTTGTTAATATACATAATTTCATTATCTAGTTATCTCAACCTGAAAATGGTTTTTCCTGTCATTACTTTATTTTACCCAGTATATTAAATACTCCATTAAAATATGGAGCACTTAATATTTTTTATTACACAATATGGGTTGATAAATTGGCTCACGGCCTATCTGATGATAGCTCATCAACGGAGCTCGTAGTGATCATAAAGTGAACGTCGCCATCCATCTTAAAACATAAGGTCAAAGTATCATTGATGTTGTATGAAGGTCATCCCACCCTTCAAACCTTAAAATTATATAACGATTGTTATGAAATCATTAAAATTGGATCTCAAAAGGTCAAGAAGTATCTTGTTCAAAAAACAAAAGCATCAGGTATGATAGAACTGGGAAAAAAAAACAGGTAGGCTAAGCGAGTCTCGAATCGGTATGCAAGACACAAATAAAAATGATGTGCTCTTAACCTTTGCAGGGGTCACCTCGGTACTGTACATCGTGAAATTGTGTGTGTTTTGTAATTCAAGGCTAACATGTTTTTATGTGGGTGCATGTTTAAGTCTCGCAGTTTTATTAACAGCTAATTAAAATCTAAAAAACGCGGTACGGGCTGACGGGCTGACTGGTTCACCATCTAGCGGGTTTTATTTTATATTATATAAACGCCCCGACCTATCTTAAGAGGTCGGATGGAAGTTACTATCAAAGAAGTAGACGGATTCGTAGTTTTATTTTATTTTTTCGATCAGATGGCGGAACTCTCGTCCTCTAAAATGAGATTCCCGTGCCTAGGGGGCACGCGAGGTGTGGGTCTTGACGGTCCGCAAATATTGCTAGGACCCTACCCAAACGACTCCCCTTGCAATCTCTCACTCGTCGTCTGATCTCCGCCTGAGGTCAGAAACCGAGCAGAGCAAAAACTCCGCGGTCAACACTACAACAAAATTCGCGGCGCCACCCCGAGGATTGACCCGACGGGTAGTCGAAATGATCGTCGACAACCATCGACGCTGGTCTCCGCGGCCGGGTTCGCAGTTCCCTATCGTATTTTTTTTATCTAGCCCTGGTTCTAATATCTTAATTACCCAGCGCAGGCACTACCAACGACACAACCTTGACGCTACATTCTTGACCTAAAAAGTAAAAAAAAAAGCAAACACCAGATTGGTCGTTCGAATTTTAGCGTCCACGTTCGTATTGACACAACATCGGGCCGTTAACTTGTTCGCTGATTTGCTGTAGTAAGTAATCAGCGGTCGCATTGATCGCGCGACTCGCCATTTTAATTATACCTATATATTTCAGATTGTAATTAAAACCATACGAATTTGAAATTAAACATACTTGAAAAGGAAATAGTGTACTTACTTAACGTTGATAGAAAAGCAATCTTCATTAGCTAAGTTATCAATAAATGTTATACGTATACTCGTAGATTTAATAAGTTTACATTCAGTGAAACAGTTTTTGAGGCCAACCCGAAGGCGAGAACTGACTGGACGCAGCCCGCCCATGAAATCGAAATCTCTTCAAACCGGAACGCCTAACTGCTTCGCCGTAAAAATAGATAGGTACTACCACCCCTAAGGGAGTCGTTTCGGCATTCAAAAGTCGTCGGGGAAAAAAAGATACCATGACCCTGCCTGTTTCTATCTTGAGCAAGTAATTCATGCCGCTTTTAAGGGCAAGCAGCCGCTGTACTTTAGAACAGAAACTTAGAATGTCTCTAGGTGGGTGACGGCATTTACGTTTTTAACCACTTAACACCAGGTGATCCGTGATTAACATCTAAACATTAAAAAAATAGGGAAGACATATCAACATACAAAATACACTCAAACCAGAGCTACGAATGAGAACGAAGTGACAACTTTTAGGAAAATTTCTTCTTTTTAGTTATTTATTAGATATTCATAACTAGATTTCCGAATGCAGTTTCGTTTTTTCTCGCCGAACTCGTCGACATACAAATTAACCCGTAGGCACAACCCGCTGAGTTTTTCGTCGGATCTTCTAAGTGGGTCGGGATGCAGTAAGCCTACCATATTGACTATATTGGCAGACAGACCCCTTAGATGAATGCAGCAAAATGGCATCTCGAGCATGGAGAAATGGCGGGGCCTCGTAAGACACGTTAAATCTGCATCCTTTAAGGCCACATAATCGTGTGAAATTAAGAAGAAGAAATCTCTTCAATTAGAAAAAAATATATTTATTTTATTGCTTAAATGTGTGGACAAGCTCACAGCCCACCTGGTGTTCATTGGTTATCAGAGCCCATAGGCATCAATTTAACTGCAGCCACTCACTTCGAAACATAAATTCTGAGGGCTCCATTTTTCAAATACAACGGCTGCCCCAACTTTCAAAATGAAACGCATTACTGCTTCACGGTAGGAATAGGCAGGCTGGTGGTACCTACCCGTGCAGACTACCAAAGACCCGTCCTACCACCATTACCTACCATTTGTTTGTTCGTATCCCAAGCGTTTTCTCAGATTTTTCGATTAATAATTTCAAATTTCCCTAGAGGTTTTTGGTACTTCTTAGAACTTTCTGGACGTTGTTTTTTTATATTCTAAACCGATCTATAGTTAACCTGTGCCACAGGGTGCATTTACATTAAACGAGGACTTTTTGGCGGGAACGCGAGGAGTGAAGTTGTGTGATTTGTTTTATTTTGTCTATTTAGTGTTTCTTCAGGTTTAAATGTGTAATAACGGTGGTTTATTAACAGTTTAATATCTATGAAAGTGCACAAGTGTGGGAAAATGAAACAAAGCCACTGGACGCAACTTCTCGGGATCCTCCAAAAAGTCCACTGAAAAAATCTTAGTAAATGACCACCATTTTACTAAGAATATATTTCATTCCATATCATCTCATTTAATTTAATTTCATCCCAGTTGATTAACGTCTCAAATTAATCATTTTCATTTCATTTCACTCCATATTATCATTTTTCATAAAAATAAGAATATAAATTAAAATAAGACATGACTTAAAGGTCTTAGTTACCAGGTCATAAAATCACTTAAAAAAAACATTAAGCGATATAATTAGAGCGAACTATGACCCTGCTCCTTTAATTATGATCAAAGCACTGTCTTGGTTAATCTTGCTATCATTCTCATGAGGAATAAAAAAATATCTTAATTGTTGAAATTCTAGGATACTATAAAAACTGCTCGAGATTAATTTGTCTGCAAATGCCATTCTGCCTCACCACGAGCACATAAACTAATAGTAAATTTAAAAGAACTTACTTTATTTCGCCCCAGTGATTACTAATTTCTTGGAAATAAAACACATATAGGTATGAAACTAATCGAAACTATAAGAAAAAAAAAAAGAAAAGCAAAAAACACAAGACTTTTAATCAAAATAAATAAAACATACAATGACACTTAAAAAAAAACATTTCGTACATTCAACATTACCAAGTCAAACGCATTACGTGATCAGTCTTTCGCTTTGATGATTTAATAAATCCGAGAAATTGCAATTCGGCAACCGCGCGGGTGAACCTCGACCTGAAAAACCAACGATTACATTACACACCGCAAGGGTAGGTAGGTACCGCCACAAAACCATGAGGCATAATATCTAGGTGTGTTATATAGTTGTATTATATGTCTAGTTGTATTTACTGGTGGTAGGACCACTTATGAGTCCGCGCGGGTAGACACCACCACCCCGCCTACTTCTGCCGTAAAGCAGTAATGCGTTTCGGTTTGAAGGGTAAGGCAGCCGTTGTAACTATACTTGAGACCTTATATCTCAAGGTGGGTGGCGCATTTACGTTGTAGATGTCTATGGGCTCCAGTAACCACTTAACACCAGGTGGGCTGTGAGCTCGTCCACAAACCTAAGCAATAAAAAAAAACCTCATCGATAACTCTCTCCCGAAGCCCGACAGAGAACAAGATGGTTGGAGGATCCCGCGATCTACACTACATCAACTACCCTCATCTCATCCTCATTTCATTTTGTTTTCATTTTATGCCATGTTTCATAGTAATCAACTTCATTTCATTTCATAATAACATTTTTCATATAAGTCAAAAGTTTTTATTAAAATTAAAATGACCTAAAGGTCTAAGTTACCAGGTCATAAAACCCCTTAAAAAAAGATTTAATGTTTGTCTTTATTAATATTTGTCTATAGTGTAGTCTTGGCGAAATCTGTGATTATAGAAATATAAGTCTTTGACAATAGAATCATAATAGTGGACCAACTTATAATTACAAATAATTATAGTGGAATTTCAACTACTGCGGAACCCATAGTCATTGTTAAATCACGATGCAGAGGGAACATCGAATCTTTTGCTAACTGTTCCTAAGCAAAATTGTTAAAACGAACTCAATCTAAATCTAGACTTGTTTTATTTATGAACTCTTAGTAGTTTAGTGTTCCTAGTTTCTTGCTAACACGTCCTTATTTATGTCCGTGTTCATCGGCAGAGTTCTTGCGATACGAGTTCGAGAACATTCTAATTAAATGAATGAAATCCAATCTAAAGGTCGAATCTGGACGTCACCGTGCTTTTCATTTTTTTGAAAGCTCTTTTTTTAATTATTTCTTTTTTAAATAGGAAAGTTTGGTATGGGCCGTATCATGAGAATTCCCCTGGGTAGTGTATTAGAGGCGCCTCGAGTCGGGGTTGTTTGTTTTTTACCTACGCGAGAAAGCTCTGTTATATACATAAAACAACGTGAGTTGCATTCGCGAATGTTCATGGGGTCACGATTCACCTGGTGAAGTTAAACGGCTACCAGAGCTATTACAAGGCTATGTCTTCAAGTAGGCGTCATAAACAGAACAGCGTGATCCGGGCGGAATTTTTTTTCGCAAGTTTTTTTTTTGTTGCATGTATGGGTGGATGCGCTCACAGCCTACCTGATTTTTTTTTTTATTGCTTAGATGGCTGGACGAGCTCACAGCCCACCTGGTGTTAAGTGGTTATTGGAGCCCATAGACATCTACAACGTAAATGCACCACCCATCTTGAGATATAAGTTCTAAGGGTCTCAGTATAGTTACAACGGCTGCCCCACCCTTCAAACCGAAACGCATTACTGCTTCACGGCAGAAATAGGCAGGGTGGTGGTACCTACCCGCGCGGACTCACAAGAGGTCATACCACCAGTAATTACGCAAACTATAATTTTGCGGGTTTAATTTTTATTACACTATGTTATTCCTTCACCGTAGACGCTAATCGTGAACATTTGTTAAGTACGTATTTCATTGTAAAATTTGATACCCGGATTCGAGCACCGGTGCATCGCTCAACACGAATGCACCGGACGTCTTATCCTTCAAGCCACGACGGTTACAAATATCAAAATTATATATAAAACGTTACTGTATGATCGGATCGTGATGTCGTTGTTCGTCGTTTTCCCCGGGCTTGACGACGGCTGCGAAGGCTTGCAGCCAGTCGTACAGGTTGATGTGCTTCCCGCACTCCCGGTGCAGCTTGTAAGCGAGGCACACGTCCGGCAGCGTTCCAGCCACGCTCTCCGGCGACGGAAGCCGACAGCACGAGCACTGAGAATAACCAGAAGTCACTTCAATTAGACAAAAATAGTTTCGATTGAGGATTACAATGTCTATATATACAAATTCAATTAGCTTAATTAGTATGTATCATTGTATCATGTATTTTCAAAGACTTCAAGACGTCCAGTTAACTTGGAATTTTGCACACGCGTCTGAAGCCGATGATATCCACAATAATATATAACTTCTGTCTAATATTCGAACCAGTAACAACATGACAAAAAAAGTCGTGAAATTAATTGTTAGTTTTGTATCGTATTGTTACGCCGGTAAGAGTATCGCCATCTATCGCCAAATAGTCGAACGAATATTGGAGGATCTAGTAGCACCTAGAACGCTCGAGAAGTACAACGCCATCTATTGTCAGATAGCGGAAACAAAATACTAGAGATATGTGAAATATTCTCGATAATTATAGGGATGTGGTACCGGCTATAAAAGCGTTACAGAGATGGCACGCAGTCAGTCAATAATCGGGATTACTCGAAGCGAAACAGCGAGCGGATCACCTGAAGCGAAGCGTGATTTGACGTATTTTAATCATCATTATCTCGGCCCATAGGTGTCCACTGCTGACCATGGGCCTCTCCAATCGATCTGCAGTGCGGCCGGTCCGTTGCCACTTGCATCCAACGTCACCCAGCGATTTTCATTAGATCGTCGGTTCATCTGGTAGATGGTCGACCCACACTGCACTTACCAGTGCGTGGTCTCCACTCAAGAATCTTTCTGCCTGATATATCTTTGTCATTCGCTTAACGTGGCATGGACATGTGATACGTAGAGAGAAGATGCATGTGACTAGGAGATATACGGAAATGGTAGTAAAAGGTAAAAGGGGAAGAGATCGACCAACGAAGACATGGATGGAGTGTGTGAATGACGATATGAGAGAGAGAGAGGAGTAAGTGTTGAGATGACGACTGATAGAAGAGAATGGAAGAGAAAAATTAGCTGTGCCGACCCCACCTAATTAGATAAAGAAAACATCTTTGACATTACTGTCTTTATATAATAGTGGTGTAATAATAATGTATTCTACACTAATATATAAATATACAGTGGTTTTTACGGATGTTCCGTTATAACTACTGAACCATGCATCCGATTGACTTGAAACTTGGTATCCATGTAGAAAATACATGTACTTAATTGATAGGCTAATATTTATATGAGTGTTGGACTCCCTACAATAGTTGCGGGGGCGTTAATGATGATAATGTTTGTGGCGGTGTGAGAAATAATAATGTTAATTTTAAATGCCCAGCGAAGCGGTCGGATACAGCTAGTAGTATATAATAGTGCTGACCACGGACCGCGTCGTCACTTCCGTGTGTCGCTCACCTGCAGATAGTGCGCGGGGTCGCTGAGCGCGGTGTGCAGGGCGCCCCGCGGAGCCCCTACTATGTGTTTTTTAACATTCGATATGTCACTAAAGAACATTATTTCGTGAAACGTCTGCGTGTGCGGAGGCTGGAGTCCCTTGGCGAACATTTCTTCGAGGTAACTTATAAACCTGCAACGTATCATCTCGAATTCCGATTGAATTTTTTCAACTCGAGTCGCTTTTAACAATTTCTGTAATAAATCAATAAATAAAAATCGTTACATAATTATACCTCTCGATCTTAAGTACGTATCATTAAGTGTGATTTATAGTCATTTACTGAAATCATTATGGTATTAACATCTATTTGACCTTTCATGAAAATAGGTCAACAAAAAATGTTAATGAAATTAATTTTAGAGTCAATGAGAAAGGAAACACTACATACATGTTTTTTTTTTCCACAGGAGAAAATCGCCGGATCCCCACCCGCGCGGCAGGTGGGGTATGTGGGAGTTGAACCTCACTAAAAACTCCTGCCGCTCACAACCGGCGCCCTACCTCGGACCGGGCCGGAGCCCAGTCGGGGCTATTGAGGCGGCGGGACAGGGTTGACGCAGAGCACATTACATCCATCCCACCGTCCCACGGACGCCGGACCGGCGGCCGCCAGCGACACGACCACCGGCTCCCTCGTTCAGCGGGCCGAGAGCCCGCCTTGATGGCGCCGCGTTACACCTTCCCCCAGAGCGGGCGGGGGAACGCAGTCTACCATCACCCGGCTTCCTACTGCGGGTGAGCGTGCAAAGCACGCCACCCCACGTCTGGGTCTCTCCCCGCACAAAACGGGTGGGACCCCTAGCTCTTAGGGGGCCAGGTCACGGATACGACCCCGGTCCCGACCCCCTGCTCGGTGGCGGCGGGTTTCTGCGTAGGGAGGAGAGCTTTGCCTCACTCGCCCCGCCGCCTCCTTCTATGAGATGGTGCACTCGCAGAAGTCGAGCATAGCCTTCCAGGACTCATCGCCGCCAAGCATCGACGCCACGACGCCAGGCAGCGACAAGTCAGGTCCTATCTTTGCGACCAGGACACGGCGCTGCACCTCCCAAGCGGGGCAGACAGCGAGCGTATGCTCCGCCGTGTCCAGGTCGACTACATACATGTTAGGTTTACTTTAGTCATTTTTTTTCCCCACTATTTTTTATATTTTTCTTTATTGCTTAGATGAAGGTGACTCACTGACCGACTGACTGACTCAAGCAGATGATGAGCTCACAGCCCACCTGGTTTTAAGTGGTTACTGGTACCCATTGACATCTACAACTTAAATGTGGCCACCTTGAGATATGAGTTCTAAGACCTCGGTATAGTTACAACGGCTGCCCCACCCTTCAAGATGTCCTACCAACAGTAATCACGCAAATCATAGTTTTGCAGATTTGATTTGTATTACACGATGCTATTCCTTCACCGTAGAAGTCAATCGTGTACATTTGTTAAGTATGTATTTCATTATAAAATTTGGTACCCGGATTCGAACACCGGTGCATCGCTCAACACGAAAGCACCGGACGTCTTATCCTTTAGGCCACGACGACTTCAACTATGATACATAAATATATACACAAACACACCTCTTTCAGTTTATATCTACTTCCCGGTACATTTTCAACGTTGTCATTCGAGTCGGTATCCATTGCGGTGCTAATACTAGCTTCAGTATTCGCATTTTCGAGTTGCCTCAAGAACGTCATCAAATGAACGCGAACTGTCTTCGCGAAGCTTTCGCCCAGTTCGCGGTGTGCAAACACTTTATCCGTGTTATTATTATTCTTCTTCGGTGTCGCCTGAAGAGGTTTGATCGGCGAAACTGATTGTAAATGAGAATTGAGCAACTTCAACGCACCAGTGATGGTATCGACGATTTTAATTTGAGACTGGAAACTGAGTAACTGCATGCATTCCTTAAACGAGGGCGTGTCTGTGATGCATTCGGTGGCACATTTCGTGTAGACTTCGCGTACCTAAAATTTAATAAAAAAATACATATATACATATATCTAAAAATACTATGTGTAAGGCTATTTTTCCCAATTGATAATCTAATTCAACTAATTAGAAATTACTTCTTGAATTTTTATAGGGAATATCGTAAACTATTGGCTGATGAGTTTTAGCGCGTATGTTTATGATGAAAGGCAAAATAAATTTCGTTTTCCATGTGAAACGAAATTCTAATTTATTTGGTATGTAAGAGCAAGCCATGTATCGCCGAATAACAGAAACGAATATCAAAAGAACTAGTAAAATCGAGAACGTTCGAGAAGTACAACGCCATCTATTATCAAATAGCGGAAATACATATCTGGCCTTATCGAGACTGTTCTCGATAATTCTAGGGATGTCGTATCGACTACAAAAGCGTTGCAGCGATGGCACGGAGGCAGTTAGCAATCGGAACTACTCGAAGCGAAACAGCGAACGGATCACCTGAAGCGAAGCGGAAGAAGTAAATTACGAGTTGTAAAGTTCTGTGACTGTTCTAAGTTTTAAATACAGTTTTAAGTTGTACTTTGGCGGAATTTTTAATGATCCCGAACGCCAGCGCGTAGCTATATGTTAGAGCAGTGATTCTCAAGCTTGGTAGGCAGCGACTTGGCTGTGTCGCGGATATTGCTGCTTTCCATGAGGACGGTAACTATTTACAACAACCAATAAAAACATTTTATTTCGCGGTCCCTTTTAACAATTACAAAATTGGAGGGTACACAAAACAAAACATAAGTTTTCGATAAAAATTTTGGGGACACACTTTAAAATTTGGCGAAACAGAAGAATGCCACAGGGCAATAGTTGAGAATCATTGTGTCAGTGTAAGAGAGTGTTTATATGCAAATCTTTTTTTTTAAAGGGATTTTATGACTTGTTAACTAGGACCTTTAAGTCATGTATTATTTTTATTTTATCGTCTTATTTTTATGAAAATTGATAATATGGAGTGAAATTAAATGAAATGAGATGATAGAGGATGAAACATAATCTTAGTAAAATGGTGGTCATTTACTGAGATTTTTCACGAGCTTTTTGGAGGATCCCGAGAAGTTACGTACTGTGGCTTTGTTTCATTTTCCCACATTTGTGCACTTTTACTGATATTAAACAGTTAATAAACCACCGTTATTACATATTTAAACCTGTAGAAACACTAAATAGACAAAATAAAACAAATCACACAACTTCACGTTCCCGCCAAAGTCTCTATATGCGCATCTAATGCAACTAAATGTTGCTAGCAAACAAAGACAAACCACAGGAAACAAAATATTACTGATTTTCAGAAATACACTTACCGTTTTACCTAGCAAATTGTTCGGTATGTCCTTGATCAGCGTCGACAACAATTTCACGCACAAATAAAAACTATACAAATAATCGTGCAATTTCATCAGCTCCTTGTACAGAGCGTCCCTGAAATACTGATCGTCTTCAAAAAGACTTATTTTCGTTCGGCAGTCTTGTTTCTCGAGGTAAGGTCGGAACGATTTTAATTGTCTGATACTTTCAAGATCATTCGGACTTAGATTCAGAACGGCTTCTTCAAGGTCTTCACGGTTACAACAGAGGGCCTTTGTATTGTCGCCATAATAATGATCCATCATACAGTACTGTAAAAAACAAAAAAAGTTTTTAAATTTTCAAATTGTAACAATATCTTTGTGCTTTTCTTTGAAATTGTTCTTCTTTTATTACGCGTATGGGCAGACTAACTGTACCCGTCCGCTTCGCTGGGCATTTAAAATTAACATTATTATTTCTCACCCCCACAAAAATTCTCATCATAAACGCCCCCGCAACTGGTGTAGGGAGTCCAACACTCATATAAATATCAGCCTATCCATTAAGTACATGAATTTTCTACATGGATACCAAGTTTCAAGTCAATCGGATGCATGGTTCAGTAGTTATAACGGAACATCCGTAAAAACCACTGTAGATTTATATATTAGTATAGATATAGAGTATAAATATGGGTAAGTTAAGAAGGATATTATGTTAAAGTCTCGATCGTATTGACAAATGTTCCATCCCTCTAATCGGAATGCAAGATTACTTAGTGGTAGAAATAGAGCAGTTGGTGATCACCACCCTGTCGGACTCACAATACCAATAAACCTAGATCAGTAGCAACTTCAACATGATGTCTATAAGCTCCTATAACCCCAGGTATTGCGAGGTCTTCAGCCTATTTACAGTAACAATTTTTGCGTTATATTACATATTATATAATTATAAAAAACATGATTAAAGGTCATTATAGCTGTTCTAGTTAAGGTTTGAAGAATGAAATGTCTTTATCTCATGATTTAAATGAGAAAAATAGGAGCAACATTTTTCTTTCTCTATAAGACATTTTTACAAGTTTGCAACACGGATTCTATAAATAATAATAAATAATACCAGATAACGGGAAATAAATTAAGATTTTTATTATACCCATACATATATATAATATACATCCATAACCGTGGAAAAGACATTTTATATTTATCATACAAATATCTTCCCTTGGCGGGATTCGAACCCGCGACCCCCTTGTGTAGTGACCATGTCACTTACCACTACACCAGACGGCCTAATTATTTCTTTATTCCATAGAACGAGGACGAACGTAGTCACGGGTCATTAGAGCCATCGACATAACAACATAGAAGTCGCCCTTGAGACTTGAGGTTTATGTCTCAATTATATAGTAGTTGCGCAAATTATATTTTTTGCATGTTTAATTTTTATTATTATAACACGAAGTCATACCTTCACCGCACAAGCCATGTGTGAGCATAAAGTTAAGTACGTATTTCCTTAGGGTAATTGATACCTGCCAATGGAATTTGACAACCAACATAGTTTCAAAGTTCGATACGAATTCGCCGGGTGTCTTATATTTTAAGCAACACCGACTTCAAATTTTATAAATATACAAGCTGGCCCGGCAACCGTTGTTTTTCCATATAAATTATTTCTAGGAAAGATAAATAACCTAGATACCGACTGCAGCGCCATCTGCCGGGCTTAATTGTGAATCTAAACCATCCAGGGTGCCACCCTAACGCATATAAAAAAAAAGCATTCAAATCGGTCCAGCCGTTTAGAAGGATATATGTATATATAAAGATTTAATTTTACCTTAATGCTTTGCACCAATCCTTTGACAGAAAAATCGTAGAAAAGAAAAACGTCTGTGAGCAATTCGAACGCTTTCCCGGACAAATGAAATGGAACTGTGTGCGTTAAAAATATATCCTCTAGCACCTGAAACGTTATTAAATATAAATTACACTATGTTTCACTTATTTCAATACACAATCAATCGTTCGATACTCGACGGTCCCGGAATTCAGAAACATAATACAAATTAAAAACGAAATATGCACAGGCAGACCTCAAAACAATAAAAATATGTACGTATATAACATTGAAGTACATATCCTTTTTTATTTAAAAAATAACAGCTTTTTACTAAATGCCTTTCAATATATATCTTCTATGCGGTATTGTTAACAAGAACCAATTCTTTTTTTCAACTAATCTCCGAAACAGCTGAACGAATATCGTCAACACTTTTCTTGGGGTTAGCTGATTTTATTTATTATAATATATGTACCCATTGTATAATAAGTAATGTATAATAATTAACAATTAAAAGTAAGTACTTTGATACAATACAATTTGATAAATATAAATTTTAACACAAATAATAATTGTACAAAACTGGATTTATCCGGTGGGAGCCACATTAAACGTTTCAAATCTGAGACTGAAGTCATTGTTACTTTCTCGTGTGAAACAGAAAACTAAGCGTGCGTAAAGAATGTTTTTTTTAAATCACTAGTGATGTCTTTTGCCCTTCCGCTGTGCCTATCAATAGTACTATATATATTTTCTTTCAACGTTCACCTCACACTAATTGCGTTACATTGCGAATACAACTAAAAATTTTTAATATAAATATATAAACGGAGTTAAATTGAGAGTGACCTTTCGACGTGATTAGCACTAGAAATTTTGACAAATAATATTTTTGTATTCTGTGAATATTCGAATATAAACATTAGACTCAGTTGTTGAAGTACATAAAAAATATAAGTATCTTTGGATACTTCAATAAAGATTGGTGACGTAGTACCATCAACGGATAACAGGTGGCGAATTATAGTCTGGCGAGATTGAGATGTTCCGTTTCTTATTCCAGTTGGAGATTTTGTCCTAGCCAGAACATCGATAGGTGCCAATATACATAGACAAAGCCACCTTTATATCCCACGTAAATCAAATACCTCACCATGTTCCGTTAGCTGCGTGTAATGAAAAAATATATTTTTATTCATTAGATTAACTATTAAGTAGACATTTACGGCAAAGTAAAAATAATTTCTAGCTAATCAAACAACACGGTTAATATTCAAATAAAAAACTGATCACGCCTGTTCAATTTATGTTAAAATCGGGTCTGAGAATCCATTTTAGTATTTTTTTCTATTTTAAAAGCGTGAATGTGAATCATCGCTTGCATTTTTCATTTCAAAACAAGCAAGCAGGCAATGCTTAACATCTGTACCTTCTATAACATCTAAAACTTCTATAACTATCCACCACCATCCTTCTTAGATTATTATCTAAAGAAAGAAGAGAAGCAACAAACTAACCTGATTCATATAAACGGCAGACGAATGTGAATGAAAAACTTTTATTAAAAGTTTCGATGACACCTCATATGGGAAAGACTTGTGCAATGCCGAAACAGATGTTGCCACCCCAAAAACAAGCACTATGGGCAATGACGATATGTAGGAACTGAAATAAATTGAGTAACTATTTTATACTATACTATATTAGACATTCATTTAAAACTATATTTATTACCCGTAGAAATTGTAATACTTTTTTTGACATATTTCTACTATTGTAATTATATATTTTTCTTATTTTACAGCAGATAGCTTACTAATCTTACTATATTTCTTCTGGAATTAAGTGACTGACGCCACTATACATGCGATCGAACTCTTAATTTAATTGTATCTATAACTATTACTATACTATACTACTATCATAATAATCTACTACTGTGAGTAATGATGTAGATTTAAATATTGATTTCAATTTTTAGTTTCCATTACATGAATTTGATATATATGAAGTTAGTCAAAATACTTTTACCTTATTATCATTACAAAATCTTGTAACAAGTGACAATTAAAGCTTTCAAAATCAGGTATTACTATTACTAATGTCTTTGTCGAAATTAATTTTTTCTTCTTATTAGTAGATTCATTTGTATATTTTGAATGGTACCACGTTTTCAGGGTTTTCATTGTACATTGACTCTTTTTTAATTTATGTTTTGTTGATAATACATCGCATTCTTCATCATTTTTCTGCAAACAGAAACAAATAACAATAAACATTACATTATAACAAGGGTGAGCAACGTTTTTAATCAATGGTCCAATTCAAATTAAAATTTTTTTTTGGTGGGTCGCAGATACTTTGACTCTTATTAATAATTTACGAAACTTTATTTATAATAAACATTAGAATAGAAAATTATAAAACTAAAAAAAATGTAAAGATTTCATATACAAATTTTAATACAAAACAAATACAATGAAGAAAAGAGGCAAACACGCGGGATGAGATGCCCTACTTTTTTCCCGCGGTGCACATACTATTTTTTCTCCTACCAGGCCGAAAGTTCGTGGAGTACCGAGCCGGGGTCCAGGGGCGAAGCCCTGGCAGGAGGTAAGGGGGGCGGAGCCCCCTCATACTCATAACAAAACAATTTAACTGTTTTTTAATTTTTAAATAAAGTACTACTAATTGAATAAGAACTGTCTGATGAATTCATCTTTGTTTAATACTTCACTATTATATTTTATTGCCTTTAGTTTACTTCACTTTTACACTAAACACAATATTGCAAATTACCCGAGCACAACAATGACGGAGAATTATAGGTGCGTGAGAGCAGACGTAGACACTAACGCGCATGCGCACTTGTACCCAGGGAGGAAAAGTTACTATTTCTTCCATGTACAGCGGGAAGAAAACCGAACTTTCGGCATAGGTAGGAGAAAAATTAAATTATTCACTTTCTCTTTTTATTGCTTTTGTCACCGTCGCTCGCGAACTTTAGCAATGTCAAAGGCACAACTACTGCCGAGTCCTTTCCTTAAGCTTCACTCGAAGAAGAGCATGTCATAGTAATCAGGAATTATTGTGTAGACAATTTCATTCCAAAGCTGCACGGTAAGTGCTGAAAAATATCATTGGAAACGCACTAGGGATAAACGCAGTGATTCTAGATGATATAGGAGAGCTCTGCTCCAGTCACGGCAGTATGATGGCATAAAGATGACCAGATCATCTCAAACTTGTAGAGAGTGGCTGCCTCTAGCAAACTCTGTCCTGGCAGTACTGATGTCTATGAATGACGGTAATCACTCACCAGCTGTATGCTCTTACGCCTACAGGCGATAAAAACAAAAAATCCTCAGAGCACTCCCTATGAATCATACGATAAACAGAGAGCTAAAGAGCTTTCATAGAACCTGATGATTCAAACCATTTATAAAAACAAATGACCTTATGTAATGAGTCAAATGAAAGTAGCTGCTATGTAATTCATGTGAGATGAACATGGGATTTATATGACATAGGTCTGTATGCAGGTGTGCTTCTTGGTTCTATTCAGAACTACCAACATTTTAAATGTCAACTTGGCAGTATCTCGATCCAGTACTTTGATACCAAGCACTGTGATGAAAGAGCTGTCTCTCTGTTGTTAGCCTGTAAGCCACTTACATATCTCATAGAAGTCACAATACAAAATAGTATTGAAAAATATATTGGTGTTACAAAAACATTTCTAAATAGATTGACATCACTTACTAAATCATTCCCAATCAACTGCCAAACCATGTTCTCAACTATATGCTTTAATGATAATGAATCTTGTGAATTAACTATTGCCACATGAGGACTTATTTCATCTCTGTAAAAATTTTTAAAGTTAATAAACAGTCCCTTGCATTCCAGAATGAACTGATTATGACTACCAGTTTATGAGGTTTATGGTTTGGGATTGAGCAAGTCTTATTTAGGCTATTTCTTTAATTTTTCTTTCAGTCCTAAAATTAAGTATTTGTGTAGTAGACAATGAAACTTTGCTATGCTTAATCTGTAGGCATATGATATTAAAAGCAAATAAATAAACATGGTGTGGTAATAAATGCAATTGTAATTTATCATCAATTTGAATTTTCAAATAACTGTATCCTGAATTTTATTTCATTAATTTTTATCTCCATATTTCATTTTATCATACTATATACTTTTAGTCTTAATATATTACAGCTATTAATATTTGCTCATTTGGCTACATGCAATTATTATAGTTGGCACCACTTACTTTGTTATATTTATGAGTGCATCAAATTGTGATACATGATCAGGCTGACTAACCCCAGTTAGTAGTGTTGCGCTAGGAATTATTCCTTCCAACATAAATGCTTCTTCACTTCCATAAAACTGCTTTATATAATTTACTATATCATTCAACAGCACACTGTAAGACCTTTGATTGAGTTCCTTTAAAAGATATACACATACATGTTGAAAAATGTTTTATTCCTTATTCATGTAAGAATAAGCAGCACTTAATATAAAAAAATCAATGCACAAGCCTTATTCAATATTCTGAATTATCCAACTATTGTTGGAATTGAAAGTTAAAATATCCAAGTAATAAAATCACTGGAGCAAAATCAAAGCAACTAAGGCCGGGTACACATAGTATAAACAATTACTTATAGAAAGTAACATTTATGGCAACAACAATGGATGAGAAGCTCATTAAGGTGATACTATAAGTTGGGTAGGTTACTATAGGTATAGTGACCTGAGTTCAATCTGCTGCTAGGGTTTTGATGGTTTAGATGTATTCGGGACACATTTGAAAATAGTAACTACCACAATTTACTACTACTCCCATTTTTGCTTTACATCAAATTAAAAATCTATGAAAAGGCTACAATAAAAGACACAAAAGAGTTGTATGATTTTTTTTAAATATGGAAACAACAATATTTAGTAGTCTCCTGAATTATAGTTATCTTTAGTAGCTCTTAATTGAAGCTTAAGACACAACTGTTTAAGTTTTTACAAGACAAAGTTTTTTTTCATGGCTGTATGACCGAACAGCTTTTCAGTATTTTCTGAATTCAACTTACATTTAATTTAGTTTTAATAGCTTCCCAATTTTTTCTATAAGTAAGATACCAACATTCTTCTTGAAATAATTTACAAAACAATAAATTTGTTTTTTTCTTTGAAAAAGTTTTCGAGTTTTGAAATCCATTTGGAAATAAAAACACTCCCTGTAATTTGAAAAACAATTAAAATTAATTATTCTATCTCTCAAACAGTAATATTTCATTACTTTTAAGCAGTAAATAAAAAAAATACTTCACCTTTGAAACTGACACAGTGGATTCCATTGAATTCCGTTCTTAATTCTATAATAATCTTTCTTCATAGAATATTAAACTGTAGTACAAAACCGAAAAAAACAATGTTTAACCTGGTTTAACCTTTTTAATTTCAGATTCAGAAGTAGTAGTAAATTTATTTTTCCAAATGGAAAGACAAAGGTATCATACTATACATCCTAATCTTTTCTATATATATTTTTTGTAAAATATGATATTATGAAATGGAATGAACTTGATTAATATGAAATATGACATGAAATGAAATAAAATGTGATGATATGAGATGGGATATTTTTGTGAAAAATTATAATATGGAGTGAAATGAAATGAAGATGATTAATTTGAGACTAATCAGCTGGGATGAAATTAAATGAAATGATATGAGATGATATGGGATGAAATATAATCTCAGTAAAATGGTGGTCATTTACTGAGATTTATTCAGTAGACTTTTTGGAGGATTCCGAGAAGCTACGTCCGAGAAGTTACGTAAAATAGGAGTTATCCCTATTTACCCAGAAATTGTGGTTATTGGGGACGAAATTACTGTTCATAGAGAAATTTGCTAGGGCTGGCACTCCTTGGTTTTAATTAATTTATTTATTTAGTTGCACCAACAAAGTGATCATCAATAAAAAAATATTGAAAAACTGACAAAAGTACATGGCAGATGGCACCTCAATCATAGGTCGCAATCGGACAACTCCGAATGAACATACCTCATAGACCTATATAGTAGGGACACGACATATTGTTCTATACGTACAATTGCTTATATAAATAGCACCCATTTTGAAGGCACACACATAAACATATATCTATCTCGTTCTTACTCAGCACTTTAACTCGCAGGAAAACAATATAACAGTATTTCAGTGCGTACATAAAATGAAACATGAATATACGTAAATGTCTCCGTCTCCGTCTAATGAGGCCGAAAATCCGCCATGTTTAGCGCGCCAAATGTCATTGTCACGTCAGTTCGGCCGTCTGTTTTGGGTTGTACATTATTTATTGACTTTGATATCGATTTAATATGATTGCTTATATAAAATTTCTAATTTTATCATGCTTAAAACATACAAAAATAATAATTAAAACATATTTTATAGGATCTCAAGAAGGTCGATGCCCCAAAACTATTATCTATATATATTTAAATTCATTATGGAGCCCTCATCCGAAACATAGATTATACACATAATAATATATTTGAATCCAAAATATCGGACACCATTTTTCGGTCGGAATCTATTCATCATGACGCTAATCATAAATACCTCTTTAAAATATGTCATCAAAACATATTTAGACATTCTGTTTAGATATTTCGGGAAAAAGGCTACCGACAAAATCTCTTCGGAACTATTTAAATAAAATAGTTTTATTCCGCAGTGAGTAAAACACTATTGTAAATTCGTTAAATATTTATTAATTAAGTGATTTTAGAGAGGAAGTCACAAGGAATGACGTATGTAATTTCATTAACGAATAATGTTCTAATGTTCTGTAGGTGTTTTTTTTTATCAGGCGGTCCCTTGATAAGTTTAAAATTTGAATCACTCTCAAGTGAGAGTGATTCAAATGGTGCGGTGCACCTTCCTTGAGGTGCACTGCGGTAGTCTGTTACGGACTTTAGTCAGCAAAACAATTAAAATAGATTGTCTAAGAAAAACACGTACTCAAAATACGATAACATTCAGCATGCTAGAATCAGTGTAGCAAATTTAAAAAATCGTCATATCGTTTACTTAGAAAATTTGAAGCACGAACTCGTCTTAGATTTCACATAATATCTAAATCACATCATCTTTGCACATAACAATATACTTAATTCCTATTAAAGTATAAATTCTACAAATACATTCATACTCAACAATATTTAAAATAAAATAAGCCAAGGACGTTTACCGATAAAACCTACTAACATTAAAATCTTCTGGGCAGCACTAAAACCGCCATGTTTTGTGGCCAGATGACGCAACAGTGGCACGAATTTTTTGTTGACGTTTCATTTCCATAGGTTTCCTACTTCAGTGACATACCTACCTACTTTATTCATATTATTTGAAAATGTTTGATAATAATTCTAAAGAAAAACCAAAGCCCTTAGATCAATAACAATATTCAGTGTAAATATCTTAAAGTCGAAACTGATCTTTTTTAAAAGGCTTCCCATTTTCAATATTTATCTCTCTTCTTTTATTTCTTTAATATGACCCAAATTAAGTCGCCTATCTGATGTATGAATGTCGTCATAAAAAGATAAAACAGGATAACACAAAGTAAATGATATAATAACTCAACTCAGCTTTTTTCCTAAATGAAACCTACTACTTAGTTACATAACATAGGTATTTTTATCAATGCCTTCGGTGAGGAAACAATAACACCGTGTAACAAAAATTAAACTTGCAAAAATGTTAAAATACGAAATTACTATACAATTGCGACATCAACCTCAAGTCTCATAGTTAGCGATGGTATTCACATTGTTATCTTTAGGGGCTCCGGTAATATCCCCGTTAGAATGATTGTGGAAATAACGATTAAGTTTTTAGACAAGTTTATTTCAGTTTATTCATTGTAAATAACACATGCAATTTAATTAATTTGTGCACTCTTCAAATAGTTTTCAATAGGTGATGGTAAAAACCTAAGCAGTTGCGAAAATTAAATTCTTAACCTACCTATCGTGTGGTTGAAACCCGATTGAGCACCATAGATTATACACTTATGAGCACCATAGGAAACGCAAAAGCTTAATAATGCTATCAACAGATGGCGGTGAACATTACAGCTGAATCGCGCTGTTGTTATTTGTTACGTTTGAGTCAGTTGAATGCCTATTCCGATTTACGTCAATACAATATAATGAGACTTCGATCTCTATTACTAACTTTCGTTCCGGTTTGATTAGTAATAGATATTTTTGCAAGCTCCTACGCAGCATTGTACTGTGGTAAGGGAGTCATGTTTGAATAATACGTTCGAATTGTATGGCAACTGGCAAGTTGTACTTCTTCCATTATCAGTTGTTCACACTACTTCACACAATACTACATAACACTGGCGTTTTATTTTCTATATACATATTTTAATAACCTCGAGGGTTATTCTAGATTCGCTGAATTAATAAGTGAGCTCACAGGGCTCAAACTTGATTATGTTGCTAACTTAAGCTTGGGTTCACACAGCATTGTCCTGCATGTTTATTTGCATAATAATTGTCATAACGAATGAATGGTGGCCATTGATGTATTAGAAAACATATACATACATTTTTATATATCAATGATAGTGGCACATACATTGTACATAGAACCATTCACCTCATGTCGTTTATACTGCAAAAAATCGTACTCCGCTATGCGTTTAAACGAATACAGAATACTCAACCAAATCCTCTGTAATATATTAGTACAGATATACAGTTTATTAGACATGTGTAAGTAATGCGAGTGATATTACTCTACGATGTAATGCAATATCACACATTACGCGAAGGAAACAAACATCACACTATCACCCAACATGTTTCTTTCTTTGTCGTGTAATGTTGCTTAATACACGAACGGAACCTTCGCTAGAAGTAATAGTGTTCTGTGAACGGAACCGAGCGAGCGACAGACCCATCGACGCTGCAACGCGATGGCTTGACGTGCAGTGCTACAGCACTACGCAAAATAAATGAGCAAGCGACACGAAATTATTCCTAGTGATTTTGAACCATATGCCCTGGCCGCTAGGTACATTTTTATACCTATGGTACGTCTGAATTTTAATATAGGTATTTGTGTATATATTTTTCATGCGGCCAGCCGGTAGTTCTCCGCAAGTAGTTATTTTTTTATCGCAACTTTTGTAAAATCGCTAGTCGCTCGTAATTGTTTAGTAATATTTCATATTAATTTTTGTGTTTGAATTACTTAAGCACTTGTTTGAAGATAGTTTTATTATTTGTTTTAATGCGTGTTTAATAAGTGAAAGAAAGAATGGCGTCTAAATGAAAGTACAGTCCTCTTTGGATGCACTTTGAGGAGACCGCGCCGAAACAATGCGTCTACTGCTCTCGTATATTAACATTATCGTCGAGCTCAATTTGCAGTCTAAGTCGCCATATGAAATTCGTTCATCCCACAATAAATTATATTAAGTAAAAAATAAAATTATTATATTAATAAGTAAGTCAATCTCTGTCAAGTAATATAACAGTATATTATTAAGTAAGTCAATCTCTCTGTCAAGTAATATAACAGTGTACTACAATACAAAGTACTATGAATGAACACATCAATTAGGTAATGATTCGGGTGTATAGATAGATACAATGTAATATTTTCGAGTAATATCACCTGTGTGTAAAAGTGTTTTCATACCAGTACATTGGAAAGAAATGCTTTGCACAATTTCATAGATTATGTACCTCCTTGTATCCCAGTAGTACCAGGAAGGAGGATATCAAAAATGTTTAATACTAATCAAACCGAAACGAAAGTTAGTATTAAAGATCGAAGTCTCATTATTGCATATTCAAACGTGGACGGTTTACTCAAGTCATTCAAACTTAACATATACAGATAGCGCGATTCAGTATTTTTGTTCAGCGCCATCTGTTGATAACATTATTAAACTTAGATATAAGATATACCTGCTACATTCATTACAACCCGGCCTGTAGGTATGGATACCGCTAAATACCCGGTCCATAAGCCCGGTATCACAATACCTACAGGTATGAGCTAATGCGGTGGAAGTGAAAGTAAAAACCCATTCATAGATGTCGGGCAATTAGAAAACTATAGTTATTTCATAGGCGCCAAATTATATTTTCATTGGCCCGTTTTATTATATTTCTATAAACGTAATCAGTTAATTATGGAGCCAGATAGTGATAATTCTGTGATTGAAATTAATGACCACATCTTATTGTACATTGATAATTCATAGATGGCGTTAAAATTGCAAGGCAGCTAGGCCACCAGTTAAGTAAATTACGCATTCTAATTTCACTAGATGTCGCTCACATTAAAAATGAATTTTATTTTAACGGGTTAGCTTTTTTTTTTTCCTACCTATGCTGATAGCCTTGAGAGGCTATTTCAACTTACCCTAGCTTGTGTAGGTGAGCTCACGGGGCTCAAACCGGAGAATTGCTAACACTGACCCTAGCAAGAGCAGTGCTTCGCAGAATCTACCACCGGGTCGGAAGCGCGACCCACTGAGAAGATCCGGCGAGAAACTCAGTGGGCTGTGTCTGTGGGTTAATTCGCTCGTCGAGCCCTTCGTCGCAAGCGACGGGTTCGACGAGGACGGTGACCGGTGCTTGCATTGCCTAAAAGCACCGTTAATAGATCAGGAGGATCCGTGATGAGGTGCTTTGGGCGACGTCGACGGTTTACCATTCGGTCTACAGGATCGGGTATGTGGTTTCCAGCGGCCACGACAAGAGGGTTCTCATGTCGTGCCGTCTTCTCATAGTGGCGCAGCGATGCCGACTGTAGATACTTACTGACGGGGACGGGTTACCGGGCGGGCGAGCTGCGACGCATTACCAAGTATGGCCGTCGTAGCGATGAAGCTGTACTAGCGACGCAGTATCTTATCAATATCAAGTGTCGAGCCGCGGCCGCGTAGTACGGGTGAGACCCGACCATAGATTATACACTTAAGACCCGACCATTGTCCAGTATGTACGGGAGGTATGCCCGCATACCTGGTATGCGTACTGCCAAGTCCATACTTAGTTTTTTTAATTAAACCATTCAGCATGGCTTTTTTACCTGTGACTTCGATTTCATCACACCTCATTTCGGATCCTCCCGATCCACTACCGTTGCTTTTAGGTACCTCAAGCACCGGTCATCATTCTCGTCGAACCCGTCGCTTGTGACGAAGAGCTCGGTGAGTAAGTTAACCCACAGGCACAGCCCACTGAGTTTCTCACCGGATCTTCTCAGTGGGTCGCGTTTCCGATTCGATGGTAGATTCTGCGAAGCATTTCTCTTGCTAGGGTTAGGGTTAGCAACGTCGTCAGGTTTGATCCCCGTGAGCTCACCTACTTGTTAGGTTACGCTGGCATAGCCTCTCAAGGCAACCAGCTTAGGTAGGAAAGAAATTAATGGATTTCATGTGTCAAACTGGATTGTTTATAGGCTCGTCTGCTCACTTTTAAGAGTAAAATAATAATAAATATAATGTAAATAGCGAAATTGTCGATTTTTCTTAAAGAGTTCATTTTTCATTAAGATATTAAGTAATTCAGCTTCTGCCGAGGCGCGTTTGTAATTCTGGTCCAAACTTTACTACAATAAAAGGTTGAATAAATGTTAGTTATATTTTTGGTAATAATTGTTTCATTTCAAGGGAACATTTTAATACACATTTCCTTGTTTGAAATTTGTTTTAAATTGATTGACGGTTTGTGTTTAATCGAGTGAAGAGGTGTCGAGTCGGGTACCTTCCGCTCATCGTCGGAGTAGATTTAGAGATCTGCTTCGACAAACCTTTGGTTGAAAATTGCTATTATTTTTTGCGAAGGATCTCTGTCATTGTACCCTCCACTATTTCATACATTTTACAAATTTGCAATGAACTTGCCAGACCGTACCGCCACATTCAGGCATCGTAGGATACCATTCTAGCCCGAGAGCCCGTGGGATCTACCTGTAGGTATGTATTTGACCTGACCTGAATTTTCGTACATTGAGACCCCTATACCTACCATGCATGAGGTGGGGACTCACTAAGCTCAAAGTGGTCGACGCGCCGAGCGCTCAGGTAGGACAGGTACCGATTTTGACGGATTTTAAATCCATTTGACCACGTCTGCCGTTTTGAAATTTTGAAAATATATGATTATTATTATCGGAGAATAAGAATGGCAGACCANCGATAATAATAATCATATATTTTCAAAATTTCAAAACGGCAGACGTGGTCAAATGGATTTAAAATCCGTCAAAATCGGTACCTGTCCTACCTGAGCGCTCGGCGCGTCGACCACTTTGAGCTTAGTGAGTCCCCACCTCATGCATGGTAGGTATAGGGGTCTCAATGTACGAAAATTCAGGTCTGGTCAAATACATACAGGTAGGTCCCACGGGCTCTCGGGCTATTCTATTTCGTATAAATTGTAATTTGTGTATTTAATGGTCGTAGGTCGTATCATGGGTAAATCAATCACTTGCCGCTATACGATAATATGTTCCGGGTTGAATGATGGGTCACTTTTTATTTTTTTATTGCTTAGTTGGGTGAACGAGCTCGCAGCCCCCCTGTTGTTAAGTGATTACCGGAGCCCATAGACACCTACCACAGCACCATATGCGCGGGGAGGAGTTTAGAGTTCTTTGGACATATCGCCAGAAAGAGAGGTGACAATCTGGAAAAGCTGCTGGTAACAGGCAAGGTATGCGGAAGAAGGCCCAGAGGCAGAAGTCCAATGCGCTGGTTGGACCAGATACGCTCCACTCTCAATACTTCAGACCACGTTGCTATCCACACAGCCGAGGATAGGCAGGAATGGCGCAGGATAATACAGAAGAAAGTTGTTAGACGAGGCTGCGACCCTCAGCACTGAGGATTATCGGCGCAAGGAGGAGGAGACACCACGACGTAAATTCCGCCACCTACCTCGAGACATAAGTTCGAAGTCTCAGTTTTAAGAGTACAACGGCTGCCCTACCATTGTAATGGAAACTTATAACTGCTTCACGGCAGAAATAGGCAGGGTGGTGGTATTTTTTTCCTTCCTTAGCTGATAGCCTTGAGAAGCTATTTCAGCGGAACCTTAACTAGTAGGTGAGCTCACGAGGCTCATACCTGACGAGGGTGGTGGTACCTACCCGTGCGGGCATTTATAACTTTGCGGGTTTGATTTTTATTACACGATGTTATTCCTTCACCGTGGAAGTCAATCGTGAACAATTGTCAAGTACGTATTTCATTAGAAAAAATGGTACCTACCTGCCTGCGGGATTCGAACACCGGTGCATCGCTTGATACGATTGCACCGGGCGTCTTAATGCTTTAGGCCACGACGACTTCTAGTCACTTATGACTTGGTAAGACCTACACCTAATCCCTCAAGGCGGGCAGCGGTAGATATTGTGATGTCCACGGCCTGTGGTAACCACTTAGTACCAGGTCGACTGTGTTTTAGCGTCTGAGCAATAAAAAAAGTCACATTTGTATAATTTATTAAAAAGTAAATAAATTTTACTCGTGTATTTTTCATGTTACAATTTACATTTAAATAAAAGAAACATATATAGTATTACTGCTTAGTCACTTCAGCGTTTTATACAAAAAAATACATTTGCGTAGTTCTTCACGATGTTGACACCTTCAAAAATCGCTCAGTTAAATTTTGTTTCATACATATATTTTCGGATTTTTTTGATTAGATTTACATTAGTAGTAGTTGTACCAGATCTATTTAGTAGCGGCTGCTAAGAAATAATAAAGACACAATGAATTGCCTTAAAGTAACTTTTAAATTTATATATTATTTGATTACCTTGTTCGGGCTATTCAACACATTAACTACCAAATGAAATTATCTAATACATTATTATATATATATTTGATATGTTATTTCGGTATAATAAAATAGAAAGACTGAAATTTCCCTTAATATTTAAACTATGTACAAAATGTGTTTTAATTTGTTCTTTTTTTTTTTAATATGTTATATTATTATAGCTCTTGAAAGCCGCATATAAAAATACATGCGAAATAAATATTGTGAGCGCATATTAAATGAATTATAAACGAATTTAATACATTGACATTTAATGCTTTGAAAGAAGTAGTAGATAGATTATATTATTCATTTTAAAACACTACATTAAAAAAAATATAATTACTCAACAACGATTCTGTTCGATTACAATTTAGGGCCAATCAAACCAAACAAAACCATTTCGCGGTATAAGCTAGCCAATAACATAAACCAATTTTTTATTGAAAATAATCTATGAATACCAATATTTTTAATCAAATAGACCTATGTTTGTCCTCTAAAGTGGCATTACCAGTGGCTTTAATCAAACGGATTCCTTAGCTGATATTTTTATATAGGTACCCACATTATAAAAGTAAAATCTTAATGTAATATTTTATTATGATTTTAATGCTAACCTCAAAATACTTTCCAGATTTCAACTCAAAGCCTGAAGATAATCATGACTGGAACACTTTTAAGACTTATCCATGAATGCGGTGTACGACAACTGTTGATATATTCACCTTGTAAAGCGACGACATTTTCAATTAATCATTAATTCAATTGTCACCAATTTCCTACCTACTACCTTTAGTGTTAATAGTTTGTAATATGACCTCTCATTCGATTACCTGAACTCTAATAAAAGCCACACTCATCTCTATAGCGTAAAATTACATGACACTCGCCAATAACTATTTTAATTCAATGTCAATAATCGATTTGTGCAAACGATTCTAATAAAAACTAAACATCAACTTAGTGACATACATAGGAAATATGTACGTATACTTATTTTTTTACACAAAACAAAATTATTCTGTAAACAGTCCGCAACAAAAACTTACTAAGAGTCAACACCGAACCCCATGAACACTTTACAAGTTTAAATTATTGTTCACACCATTAATTAATTATAAATAAATTGACACACCTCCCATCCTTAGGTGACATCGTATTTTTTCCTAGTAACAATTCTAATTTATCACTGTGCTGGGGAACGTGGAGGTATTGAAGATTCTTCACAAGGGGAATGACGGGTTTCGTCTGTGCTAAATTTGTATTCTCTATCAGATGTGGAATGGTCCTGCCCTGATGGGGAGGCTCTGCCTTCGGCACTATGTCCCGCTGCTTCTAATGCGGGGCCAGTAGGACCAAATTGCATACCTTCGGTACTGTAAGCAGCTTCGCCAGTACCCACATATTCTGAAGGCTGGTAACCATAAGTGTTTAAACTGAAATAACAACGGAAAAATATATCAACAATTTCTACTCAAATTACGATAATTTCACTTGATTGAAGACTTACTTTCGTATGCTAATTGAAATAAATTGAAATAATAAAGAATACAAAAATTGAACTCTCTTGAATATTGAATGAATGGATTTGTTGCAAAGTTGTAAATCGCAATATGAATGCTTGTAATTGTATTTACCCGTCAACATTTATTTTATTGGTAAATTTTGGTAATGTACAGAACATACCTGTTAGGCCAATATGAAATATCCTCAATGGCGTGATGTGCATAGGGAGCATACGCGTGTTGATAATACGGCGAATGATGCTGTGGGGGCGCTTCGTATTGTATGGGGTACAGGGGCGCCGGTGCTGACGTCGGGGCTGAGGTACTGGTTGGGGGCGCCGACGTGTATTCCAAGGGGGCAGGGTACGCATGAGGCGGTGTACGGTACGGAGCCGGCGAGGTGCTGGGCTGAGGCGAACTGCCGCCCTGCGCAGCACTCCAATATCCGCTACTACTCGACCACGTATAGCTACTACTTCCATTCGGCGCAGCGGTCGTGCGCTCAGAATTACTGTACGCAGCTATAAATGATATTATTCAAGTCAGACATCGCTATATACTTTATAGCTCATAAAAGAATAAAGGTGCTGTTACACAAGCTCATTTCAAGCATGAAAGCATGCTTCTATTGAGCAGTTCCTACTTAGTAGCATGTGTGTCGGAATGTTGCTCAAAAGTAGCATGCTCATTTCGAGTTTGCTTAAAAATCAACAGGCGTGCGATTTTTGAGCCTGCTACCTGCGGCGCGGGTGGAAGGGGGCGTGCTTTAAGCGCGTCTAAACAGGTTTGCTTATTGAGCATGCTATATAGTATCGATCAGTCGTTTGCAACAGGTATAATAGAAATACATACATAAAATACATAAATAAATAGCATACTTAAAACTAGCATGCCTATTGCTAGCAAATGTAAACTGTTCATAAGCATGCACGTATTGAGCATACTCATTAGCACGCTTTTTAGCATGCTATTTTAGAGCATGTGTAACAGTACCTTAAGAATCAAGTGACCAATGCTTCCATATCTATTTTTCACGCAGCTTATGTTTAAAAAATAAACTTAGGTAAAGAAAGAACGGGCAGAAGACATTTATAAAATATCAGATAAACTAGACAAAAGAAAAGCCACTGATAGAAAAGTATGGCTTTGAGCAAGGCTTTTGGTCAAAAGACAATTTGATATAAATGTTACTTGGATTATTGCTATTAGATGTTAACATATAAGCATACTCTACATTGTAGAGTCTATAATAATGATAATGAGTATAATTACAATAAAAATTTAAATACTTGATTTGTGTAAAAATAAATAAATGTATGATTGAACAACAAGAGTGTTAAATTACTTTGAATAAATGCATGCAATATGTAAAATTTCGTTATTATTTAATTTAAATCATAAATCGGAAATAAAGACTCTTGAAATGGAATTTCAATTTATTTTAGTAAGTTTTGACGAAATGCTTGCATATAGCTTAAATTCAATTTGTGATACTAATTTAAAGCAGAGAAAGTCAAAGTTATTGACAACGTTTAAAAACTTACAGGGCGGCGACAAGGTTCTTGGTCGGGAAGGTGGCCTTGAAGGGTAAGGCGCTGGCCTCCGCGATGCTGTGCCGCCGCCCCCGTACAGAGACTGAGACGTAACGAACCAACCGCCAACTGTAAAACAAACAGTTTCACTGTTTAATATTGATGCGTTTCCAAATTCAAATGATTGTGTACAAAACGACCGATAATACAAAATTACCAATGGACATTATGTAATGTGTATTTAGGTGTGTTTGTGGCTAACGAATTATCGATTGCCATCTGGGTCTTCGTTTTAACCGGACAAGGTCTGTGTAACTTTGTTGTTTTCATATCAACTTCGAACTTTGATGTTAGCGTAAACAATGTTTCTGTGATGAATGTTTTTCGTAATCCGATGTTCGACTCGCCCTTGATTTGTAAAAGTAAGCATTAGCTACGTAAATTGATAATCTGGCTCAACGGTTTTATTATTGTTAGGTACCTTTTTACAGAATAACACATTTTTTTAAACTGTACATTCAATTTACTATAAGAATATGACTTTTTTTTTAAACTTTTGTTCAGACAAAATATGTACTTAAATTTTACATGCACAATTATTATTTCGTTTGATTAATTATTGAATAAGTTTAACCAGTGGTATTAATATTAATTTAATTACAATATTTTCTCACAGCTCACAGCCCACCTGTTGCCATTCAGCCCTGGTGTTAAGTGGTTACTGGAGCCCATAGACATTTACAACGTAAATGCCGCCACCCACCTTGAGATATGAGTTCTAAGGTCTCAGTATAGTTACAACGGCTGCCCCACCCTTCAAACCAAAACGCATTACTGATTCACGGCAGAAATAAGCGGGGTGGTGGTACATACCCGTGCGGGCTCACAAGAGATCCTACCACCAGTAATATAGTCTAGAGTCACTTACATTGTGAGTACTGATGTGGCGAGGAACTTTGCTGTGGATAGTGGGTTCCCACAAAATCTCTTTGATAATAGCCCTCCGGTCGTTCCTTGGCGTCGAGAAACGCTTTTGCGAATGGATTATATTTGATTTTCAGCGACGTAACTTCTTCGTTTTGATACGCTGTGACTGCGATGAACTGTGTCTCGGGAAAAGGATAGGTCATGATCCGACGAAGGTCGGTACCGACTTTAACTAGGTGAACTCGCGGCTCGTATTTGTGCAGGCTGTTTAGCATTATCTGTCAAAGGTGAATATTATTGAATTAGTATAAAATTTGTAAGTACATATGTATATATATATGTTTGTGACAGAAAAAGATCTGGCCGTCCACGTAGTGTTCGTACGAAAAAGGTGGTCAAAGCAGTAAGGGAAAGAATTCGAAGAAATCCTGTCCGAGCAAAAGATTTTATCTCGGGAGATGAAGATAGCACCTAGAACCATGTCGCGTATTTTAAAAGATGACTTAGGACTTGCAGCCTATAAGAGACGTACTGGTAATTTCTTAACTGATAATTTAAAAGAGAATAGGGTGGTAAAATCGAAACAACTACTGAAGCGGTACGCAAAGGGAGGTCATAGAAAAATTTTGTTTACGGATGAGAATTTTTTTACAACTGAGCAACATTTTAACAAACAAAATGACCGTATTTATGCTCAAAGCTCTAAGGAAGCTTCCCAATTAGTCGACAGAGTGCAACGTGGGCACTATCCGACTTCAGTAATGGTTTGGTGGGGTATTAGCTATGAAGGAGTGACTGAGCCATACTTTTGTGAAAAAGGTATCAAAACATCGGCACAAGTGTATCAAGATACCATTCTTGAGAAGGTAGTGAAGCCCCTTAACAACACCATGTTCAATAATCAAGAATGGTCCTTCCAGCTCTCGGCGCCAGGTCGTAAAGCTCGGTCTACGCAGTCTGGGTTGGAAACGAACGTTTCGGACTTCATCAGAGCTGAAGACTGGCCGTCGTCTAGTCCCAATCTTAATCCGCTGGATTATGATTTATAGTCAGTTTTAGAGAGTACGGCTTGCTCTAATCGCCATGATAATTTGGAGTCCCTAAAATAATCCGTACGATTGGCAGTGAAAAATTTTCCCATGGAAAGAGTGCGTGCTTCTATTGATAACTGGCCTCAACGTTTAAAGGACTTATTGCAGCCAATGGAGACCACTTGGAATAAGCTTTTTATAATTTAAATTGTTTTATATTTATGTAATAAACTAACACACTGTGAAAGTAATAAATGTTATTTGCAACAGATTTTTATTTATTTTTAATTGTAACAGTATTTATGGCCAGACTAAGTACATATATATATTCGGTTGTATTGACAGATCGGTCAGCTCGGTTCACGTTCAGGAACGAAGTTTTGAGTTTAATTTCGAGTGAGCTTGTGCGATATCCTACACCTTAGGACCGACCCTACATTGACTGCTTCGGATCGGCACGGAGGGCATCCGGCGTCTTATAAGATTTTCAAGAAATCTCTTAAGATTAATAAACCCGTCCAACCCGGGTTGACGTAACTTTTTAACGAAATTTAATGTTTGTAGTTACAAAGTAACAAATTTAAAAAGCACTACGTTATTGGTGATAGAGCGTGTCGTGAGCTCACTCGGGCAGATAGAATCGGTTTGAATATTTCACGACGAAATGGTCATTCATTCCGACTTAAAGGGTGAGATTTCGTATTTCTTCATTGCCTAAAACGATTAACGAGTACTCGGCCTTCATGATGTGAAGCGGTTGCCGGATGACATAGACATGATTACACATCGGAAAATATTAATTTCGGAATTCTATTTTTATTATATTCCATGCTATTCCTTCGTCGCGGGAATCATTCGTGATTTTAACACCGGTACGGTCGCATTATTCAATACAAATACACCTGGCGATTTATGCTTTAAGCAACGACGACTTCAGACGATACAATTACCTATATTCGTGATACAATACAATTGAGACTTCAACCTCATGCTTCTATGGGCTTCTAAGGATGTCTATGGGCTTCGCTAATCACTTAATACGAAGTAGAAAATAAGTTCGTTGGGCTGTTTAGAGTAAACAAAACACAAACTACGGTTCCAATTGGAATACGGCCAATAAATTGGAAGGACAAACACAGCAATAATCGAATTAAACTTGATTGTTTCTTTTTTAATGTCATAATTTGTGTGAGCAATAACAGTATTAGCATACTGTCTAGGGGGCAGTAACTTATACATTAAATATGTGTAATGTAAACATAGCGCAGAGACAATAATTATTACAAATGATAGTGCGTACGGGCACCCGCTAAACAGTTGGTAAGCTACAGATTTCACACCGAGACGCCAACATATGGATCTGGATGTATCTGATGTTTGCCTTTGTATTCATTCGCACCACATTGAAGCGTGAGAACTGGCTTCCATAAAGTAGCGGTAGCACGAAACTGTAGCACTCTAACACCTACAACAGCTTTCCATTACAAAAAAACACATTAATGCTCGTCTAGTTCTTTGAATTCGTTAATTATGCTCTATCAGGATGCTTCATTACATTCGTATTAATGACTAACGAATATATTGTTCGTCACAGAGAAGACAGCAGTGCAGGGCACTTATAGATGTGTCAAATTTGAAAAAAAAAAATCTGATTAAAAAATATTTTTAACGGAAAATAGTTTAAATATAGCGAACGCTAAATTTACTGAGGTATATAATTGAAGAAAGCCGGAGAATCTATGAGTAGATTCGAAGACATTTGGAGATTGATTGATCGAAAACAATGACATTTAAAAGCTAGAAGAAAAAAAAAAGTTGCCGTAGATTCCTCATAAGATTTTACGCAGGCATTTCAAGAAAACAACTTTTGCATGTTTTTTTCCTCCCAGACTGATGTTTCATGATCCCATTTGGCAAACAGAACACAGTGAACCAATTCCGTGCATCTGTATGACAATGCTTTGGCGCACAGCGCGAACAAGACAAGCTTCGGAAAAGTTTGAGGATCTTGTTCGCATTTCCACACAATCCGGAACTCGCAACGTGCGATTTATTTTTCCAAAACGAGTTCATAAAACGCAACATTTCTTTCCATATATCACTATAACTATATACACATTACTAAACAGAAAATATAATACGTCAGTAACATGCACCATTAAAATTTGAATATCAATTGAGTAGGCAAATCGATATACCATATTGTGTATGTTTTATTTTAACACGATGCTCTTTTTCGATCATAAAGGTACGTATCCAAACTTTACCGTAGTCTTCACTGTATATTAAGCTACTGACATTTTTTATTAAAGTCTTTAAGTACTTTGTATGTATTTAGTATTATTTTTACATATCAGTACTATTTACCTGTCCGTTACCGTTCGTTTTGTTTGTAAGTTTGACTTTAGCGAATGAAATCGGCTCTTTCATCCAATGGGCTCCGAAGTTTGGACTCTCGGGATGGATGTAGATCGCGTTCGAAGGCGGAACTTCTGCTTTTCCCCCAGGAACCTGCGTTAAATTTATTACTAAAAACTAAATATTTACGATGGCACTGACGACAGTCACATATACATACAAAAAAGAAAGTTCAATGATTTCAAAAATATAAAGAATTTAATAAAAATACTAATTACGTACCTATACGAAATAAAAATAAAAATTTGTCGGTACAACTTAATAATAAAAAAAATTACCTCAACCATATTAAGTGATTGATTTATAAAAGATTAGAAGTCTTCTCTAGATAATATAATAGATAAGGATAGAAAAATTAAGTCTTACCCATTCGCCGTTCACGTATTTCCATCGATGCGAATCAACTTGTACAAATTCCAGTAAAACAGTATACATTGCTGTTGGATCTAGGCCACTAGCGGTTACTTTTACGACGGGAAACATTCGTCTAGAATAAAACATAGGTATTTGAGATAGACCTACATAGATCATACATTATGGCATTTTATACCTTTATGACACAACTACCTTGAGCTACGTAACTCTATAAGTTTATTGTTATTGTCTTTACGGATTCATTCACAAATTTATCTATTCCGTGTTCACAAATGTAGAAGTTAGCATAGTTCAAAGGCCAATTTTGGAGCCCGTTAAAGTAATGACAGCAGTAATTTAAATAAAATCCACAAAAGTTCGAATTGCCCACGCGTATTGCGCATTGTGGATAGCCATACGGTAGCGGTATGAAGGAAGGGATTGCAATTACACAATGCAATTGAGATTTCAGCCTTATGTCGCAAGGTGAGTGAGGCAGCCACATTGTGTCTTTTTTTCCCCCTAACTTTTCCCTGGTAGCCTAAGAGGCTCTATAACAGCTACGTTTGACGCCTTCAGCTCTAACACTAGGAGCAAGCTTAGGGACCCCGGTAACCGTACTCGTCGAACTCGACAAAGAGTTCGACGTGCAACCTAACCCATGAATCAGCTCGCTGAGTTTCTCGCCGGATCTTCTCAGCGGGTCGCGATTCCGATCCGGTAGTAGATTCATTCGCGAAGCAGCTGCTCTTGAGCTGTTAGGTCTCCTTCGGAGGCGCTCGGGCAGCTGTTAGTAAATCCCACCCCTTCTAGCTGAGCCTTTGCTCGCCCACCTGTCCTAGTGAAACTGGAAAGGCCTCCAGGCCACCAGTAATCCTTCAATCATAAAAAAAAAACAGTTATCCCGGACGGGTAGGTGAGGTCACGAGTTCAACCTGAGAGCATTTGCTAACACTAGCAAGAGCAGTGCTTCGCAGAATGTACCACCGGTTTGGAATCGCGACCCATTGAGAAAATCCGGCGAGAAACTCAGTGAGCTGTATCTAGGGGGTATGCGCTCAAAATACCCGTCTACTAACAAAACATAAAATTGGCTTACTATTTTTACATTTCCTTTGGTATGCAATCCGAAGCGCAAAAACGTTCATAGAATATTTAATTTTATTAAAACACAGTCTCAAAACAAAAACATCCCGTAAAACGGAGTTCGCTCATAGCGTACCTACCGGCCGGTATCACTTAGCCACTCCACGTTAATGAGTAAGACCTACGGCGTTAATAACTGAAAACTAGCTGCCTGCCGACGAATGTTTAGCACTAGCGAAACTGTCCATGTTCGTGTACATTCATTGATCTTATGCTACAGTTAACTGTTACTTGAAATACATTTCTACTAGTAGTAAGTACCCTTAGATAACTATCAAAATCAGAGCGCTCTTACAAGTCGATCAACTTTCTCGAAAATCACGCTGATGTGGATTTATGGGTGATTCCTTTGTCTTGGCCCAATTTCCAAACTATAATGTTGATATCTATAAGACACTAGAATCACAATTTGATAGAAATCATTGATGCCTACGGGTGACCATTTATCTTTTTAACTGCTCAACAACTTAACCGATAGGTTTTGAGCTGGTTTTAGCTTAAAAAAAGGCTATTCTTACTCTTTTTTATTAATAAGAAATAGCATCAGATGTCCGTTTCGATTTTTGCATCATAAAATCAAAACAATAGGGATAATTAGTAAGTTTTATGACTCGTCATAGTACAAGTGACGGCAGACGGTCGTAAACAATTTTGTAATGAGAAGAACCTTGTTTCTTCCGTTTAATTCTGTTTACTACCAACTTATAGATATTTTGTAGCTCTTCCTAACAAAGCCTCGAATATTATTAGCCATTACAGAGGATTTCTTTAAGTGTAGCTCGTAACATTTTTATGTTTTATTATGAGGAATTAAACAATGCTATACGTTTAAAGGTCATGTCTTTGTTTTGATACAAATCAGATAAAAATAAATATAAGAGTCAAAAAATGTATTTTCCCATAAAAACATAAAATAAATTTATCTATAACAATACTTTATTTTACCATAATAATACCAAACGAAACGCAACAAAGTTCCTCTTATCCTAAAATTTTGATAAATTATAGTTTTTTCGAATCAAGTCACGATTAAATTTAAAAGTACTAAGAATAAAAATAAGTAAATTAGTACAAATTCAAAAATAATCTATTTCAAACGCTTATCACATAAATTACACAAGAATTTGAAAATAATTATTTTCTAAACGATATTGCGGGGTACAAATTCTTATATTATTATACATATGATTATGTATGAGAAAGTATCCTAGTTCGACGTCTTACCTTCCATTTTTAGTAACGATCATCTCATTTGTAAGGGTCTGAAAGCGAACCCATAGTTCCCTGTCGTCGAGTGCCACGGAAACCTCACGCTCACGACCACTTCGAGAACCTCCGCCGCCGACGGTCGGCTCCACCGCGCTTAGAATGTGCGATGCAGCCATCCTATAACGAAAAAGTACTTTTTTTATAGCTTATATGGGTGAAGGAACTGACGGCCCACCTAATGCTAAGGTTATCGGAGCCCATAGACAATTACATCGTAAATGTCGTCATCCACCTCGAGGCATGAGTTCTAAGGTCTTAGTTTTTACAGTACAACGGCTGCCCCACTCTTCAAACGCATTACTGCTTCACGGCAGAAATAAGCAGGATGGTGTTACCTACCCGTGCGGACTCACAAGACGTCCTACCACTAATAGAAGCCACTTATTGGACTCGTCCAGAAATCCGGTATATAAAATTCCTTCCAGCTACCTCGAACTACATCATGGCTTGTTCAGCAACAACATTCTTAGCACATTTCCCTGGCTAATTTATTTATATGTAGTATGGTATAGAATTTTCGTAATAAACCATAAAGGAAGTTATTCCAATGTGATTCATACTTTTCACCTCATGTGGGCGGCGATATCCTTGTCATTTCTATGTAGTGCAGTTTTATTCACATAAAGGTATGAGACATCGTGGGCGTGTTAATACCACGCAGGAAGGGACTAATTTACTAAAAAAATATTTACTTACCGTAAGCACCCAAATGACTTCAATTGGAGCGAAATTTATAAATTTGCGTAATTATTGGTGGTAGGGTGTATTGTCAGCCTGCTAAGGTATGTACTGCTATGTTGCCTGTGTATACCGCAAAGTTTCAAACAAACATATTAGAGTTTGAAGATTGAGGTAACCGTATAGAATACAATAATTCGACCTCATATCTCAAGGTCGATAATGGCTTACCTGTTATAATATTTATGGACTCCGGTAGCTACATAATACCAGGTGGGCTGGACCATATAAGAAGATACTTTTAAATAAATAAAAAAGTACTATTGTGTCAAGTTCTACATCAATCATTAGTGTCTTGTTCTTTTACTTCTGACAAATCACGCTTCGCCATGACTGATTGTTTGAAAGGCACATGTTTGTGGAAACCACTCAAGAGTGTAACTATCGTTAGGTGATTGTCCAATGACAGAAATCCTCCCGGCAGTGTCAACGATAACAATATAAATTTAAACAAAAAAGGCTGTTTCGGAGCTTATCAATATTTTTTCTATGTGAGGTTCGCGAACTTCCATATTAATATACTTACTACTACTACTTTTATGTACCAACTGGCTGTTTTTTTTTTGTTTTTTTTTCTCCTACCTATACTAGTAGCCTTAAGAGGCTATGTCAGCGTAACCCTAACGGGTAAGTGAGCTCTCGGGATTCAAACCTGGAGGCGTGTCTAACACTAGCCCTAGCAAGAGCAGTGCTTCGCAGAATCTACCACCGGATCGGAAACGCGACTCACTGAGAAGATCCGGCGAGACACTCAGTGAGCCACTTACCACCGGATCGGAATCGTGACCTACTGAGAAAAAACGGCAAGAAACTTCGTGGGTTTCGTTTTAAGCCTTATTGGTATGAATCTTTGTTTAGAACTCATTCAATATTTACAATGCCACTTCCAATTATAATATTGACATAAACTTTAATGATACTGCTTTTATGACTGGATAACATATTAAATTAAAATTCAAAATACTTAAATTATATTCATTCTGAATATTGTGCGCAGTGCGCATAAGTTCTTGGACTCAAACATAAACGCCGCTATATTATACCTACACCGGTTTTGTTATTGTACATAATTTTACTATATGTTTGTCCCTATTACAGTTAATTAATTTTACTCATTTTGGCATTTGGCTCGTCTAACTTAATACAGTGCGTTTAACCTTTACAACTAACGGCTTGATGATTTGTAGTATTAGGATTAAAAAAGTACTAAAGTAACATTCAATTAAAGAAAAAAACTAGTAGTTTTACTATTAACTTCAAAATTACAATAAACAAATACAAAATAAACTCGAACTGCTATATAACAATGGTCTCAAATTGGGTAATATGAGGTTAGGCGTGGTTTTTTTCGTTTGACTTTGTGAAGTCGGTCTAGAATAACACACTCTATCCCGTGGATGTCAAAAAGACCGAGGGGTGGTATTTGCTAACAGCTGCCCGAGCGCCGCCGAAGGAGACCTAACAACGGAAGAGCAACTGCTTCGCGAATGAATCTACTACCGGATCGGAATAGCGACCAGCTGAGAAGTGCCGGCGAGAAACTCAACTGATGTTTAGGTTAGGTTACAGGTCGAACTCTTTGTGAGCCTACTCCTAGTGTTAGAGCTAAAGGCGTCTAATGCAACGGTTTTTGGATCTGATGGATCCGTAAGGACGTGTCAAATCAAATCAAATCAAAAAAGTTTTATTCAACATAAATGAAAGTACATACTTGTTGAACGTCAAAAGAACTACCGCCAATTTTCAAGAATTAGCCTCCGTCCTGAGAAGAATTGGCAAGAAACTCAGCGGGCATGCCTTTTTTTTTTTTAAATATTAGTTTTTTTTTTAATATTAGATTTTTTTATTATTCATTTTTACAATAAGTAATTATAACATAACAATTTTACAATATTGAACTGGCCGGAGCGAGCAACTCATTCCCACTTTGTGCAATCTTCTAGATAATCATTGACTTTATAGTAAGCTTTATTGCACAGATGTTCTTTAATAGTTTTCTTAAACTTATGTATATGTAGGTTCTGAACATCTTGTGGGATTTTGTTGTACAGGCGCACAGACAAACACCCGAATGAATTTCGTATCTTATGTAACCTACTCATCGGCACAACAAGCTTGTGTTTGTTCCTAGCATTTCTATTATGTATGTCCGACATTTTAGGAAACTCCTCAATATGTTTACGAACATACATCAAATTTTCAAAGATATACTGGGATGGCATAGTCTAGGGCGTCGACGGTGACTGGCTCCTGCGTGATCAGGATTAAAAGCGTTCTCTGATTGTACCCACTGTTATCGCCATGCGGCATTTACGGGAGGCTACCACCATTCTGCCTATTTCTGTCTCGAAGGAGTCATAAGTTTCGGTGTAAAGGGTAGAACAATCAGTAAGCTAACACAATTGTTATTTCTCAAAGTTATTGGCACATTCATGCTGTGATCTATGTGTTCCAGTAACCATTAAATATGTACTAGGTAGGCCATGAGCTCATGTGGCTACAATATTAAACAAAATCCTGGCAAGTTTTTACTCAACGAAACCTTTAGTACATCGTAGTGATTTTAAAGCCGAACGGATCGGTATCATTATTATTGAGATTTTTATTGCAAAGTCACGAGTTCTAGTTTAAAATACCTATTTATATGTGGAAGTTATACGACAAAGGGAAGATCTTCGGAGAGCAGACGGATGATAGTTGACTAATGATTAATGTTAATTAATATTCGAAACTTGTGTATATGCAAGCTTATCTTCAAAATGTCGTAAACGAGACTAAGGAAGGCAAATATTTTGTGTTCTGTGATGGCTACCCGCTACCGATATACCCGTTATTCTGATGCAGTTAAGATTTGAAGCATTTGTACGTCTCCAGTTGAGCGGTAGCATTTGGGATATCGACGAGCTATCGATTTTGCCTCTGCTGATGGGTCGTAGATCGTTGGTTCGATTCGGGAAAACGTTAGCGTGATGAGCAGGATCGTTGGTTCTTCGCCTGGGTGTTTAATTAACATTTGTGTTACACAGTTAACTGTACATTTTAAACTTACAGTGTCTTTATCAGTCATTGGTTATAATACATCCTGTAGAACCCTAGTTTGGAGACTAGACCATGTGCGACTTGTCCTCGGTTATTATTTTTATTATTAGTAATATCTAGACTATAATAAAAACAATAATAAATATCTATGCTAAACAAAGTGTGCTCAATGGTCGGCAATGGCCTTTAGATGTTTTTGTGAGTATTTCCTATTACAAAAGGATTATCTGGTACCGAGCCAGTGGGTATATTTGCTCGGGAACCATCCGTTCAAATATTCTTCAATTTGCATAACAATATGAAGTACTTTTTGTAAATAATTGTAACCCTCACTTATGAGTTTCCTCGTGGCCGGTAGATGTCGCTACGTGTCCCAGTTCGTAAAGTTAAGATGGGCTGATATAATTATGTTCTAATATACATATGTATCTTTAACTTTAATAGCCTCCACGATTTTTTTCAAGAACTTATAGTAAGTAAGTATTTTGAGAAATAAGTGTTTTCAGTTTTAAAAGTAATAGGTATAGTGGCGAATTAATACCGTTAAATCAGTATTTAGGAGAGTGCATGGGTGCGGCTAAATAGGACAAAATGTATTAAAATGGTGTTGTCGGATTCTTATAAACAATCCGTTAAAGTCACCTAAAAATCTTTTTATTTCTAAAATCTGACCAATTTCAAAAAAAAACTGCTTAATACTGTAATGCCAACCTTCAAATATATCATAACCCCATCTATAAAAATTATGATAGCTGATGGCTGGATGAAATTATAATGGCGTTAAATGTAGAGTGTAATTTAATTGAGCATTTCAACACACTTTCCTGTAATCGTTTGGCGTTTTCCTACATAAATCAATCATATTATTCTGATCGCATGGCGAGGCACAAGTTGGTGCTGTAGTTACGACATAATTTTGTCGCGAAGCAACCATGAGTTCCAGTTTAATGGATCATACAGCTCCAATATAATAAAATTGACACTCCAGTATCTCATGTCTATAGGTTCCGGTAACGAATATATATAATATATAGGTACGTCAAGAAATAGTTCATCGATCTACCTATGTATTAAAAAAAATTGGAAAAAAAAACAAAATGTTTCTATGATATATATCCATACACCTATGTACTTATGTACGTATCGCACGTGTGAGTAACCTGTCCTGTGTTAACTACAGCAAATCAATCATGCATTACTGGCTTTTTTTTATTGCTTAGATGGGTGGACGAGCTCACAGCTCACCTGCTGTTAATTGGTTACTGGAGCCCACAGACATCTACGACGTAAATGCGCCACCCACCTTGAGATAAGTTCTAAGATCTCAAGTATAGTTATAT